TATTTAATTTCAGTTTAAAAACAAGTTTCTAGAGAAATTTCGGCAGCATGCCGGCATAAATAGGAAAAATGCCAAACCTGCAATTCAAATCCAATTTCAATATATATTCTCCAGAATCCATCAAAATCAGTTTCTAATCAATTAAACAAGTCCAATAACTAAAAATCCCCAAATTTCATTCAATTCCAACAATAACTGTTCAAACTCGAACCCTAACTCAAAATTATTCAAATCTAACCAAAATCAAACTTTCTCAAGCTTAAAATCCGAATCAAAGAGTGGGTTTCAAAGGGTTTTACCTCAAATCAGTTGCTCGAGCTTTGTCTCCCTCAATTTTTCTGTTTTTCGTTTTTTTTTTTTTTTTGAGATTTTCGGCCAAACTGCCGAGAGAGAGAGAGAGGGAGAGAGAAACCCGGAAAGAGAGAGCAAGAGAGAGAGAGGACGCCGGCGGGAGGAAGCCCGGAGAGAGAGGTGGCCGGCGGTGGAAGAAAATGGAGAAAGAGAGAGAGAGAGAGAGGTTGTGCGTGGGAGAACCAGAGAAGGAAGAAAAAGAAAAAAAAGAAAAGGAAAGAAAGAGAGAGAGGGGGGCTGGGCGCACGGGAAGGGAATGGGGGGGAAAAGAAAAGAAAAAAAAAGAAAAAGAAAAAGAAAAGAAAAAGAAAAATGAAAAAAAAGGAAAATGTATTAAATTTAAGTGTGTTTTCCAAAAATCTTTGGGGTGTAATTATAAATATTGAAAATGACTTAAAGTCCCTTAATTAATTATGAAAATCAAATTAGACACACTAATAATCCACAGTTTAGCATAATTAAACATGTTTAATTCTAAAGGGCGTTACAGAGATACATTCTTAAAATTTTTAGTCATGAGGTTTAAGTATTAGATTAGCTAATTATTAGTTTACTTAAATTATGTTGGTACTTTGAATTATGTTTGGGATATATTTTTTAATTTTTGACTTGGAACTTTTTTTTAAAGTTTATGACTTAAAACTTAGTTATTTTGTTCTTATTTTATTTTATCATTATATTTTTTTCTTTAACTTATTTCAAAATTTATTGAGAAAAAATAATTTAGATGATTAATTAGGTGTGATTAAAAAAAATTTAATTAGTTATTTTAATATTAAAATAGTTAGCATAATATATGATTTTTTTTTTTTAAAGTTCAACACACAAAAATCTACTAAAAGGGTAGGTAAGTAAATTTATAATAGTTTATTCAGATTCTGAGTGTAAGTAAACGCATGAATGAGATTGGGACTGATTCCGATTTCTATTCCTGGAATCTAAATAAACATCTTATTATGACTCTGATTCCTGTCTATTTTGAATTCTATCCACTTCGATTCATGTCCACTCTGATTACGGATAAATAAACATGCCATAAAGGTTCAAATTCTCGAGAAGGTTCCACATAATTCGGATTACTCTCTCGATCTTGGTCTTTTGAAGTCGGTGATTTGAAGATTTTTCTCGAAGGTGGACTTGAATCGGTTTAAAGCAACTTCCAAAAGTGTCTTCTCTTCTTATTGATGGTAAGAGTTTTGTTCCATCATGTTAGGGTGGCTACTCCATAAAGGGTTTTGGTGGCTTTCCCAATCAGAATTGTGCATTAAGGGACCCCAAAGGCAATTGTTGATAGTAGAAATTCGTCAACAGAATTAATTTAAGTTTAGAGGTCATTAACGTGGTTTTAACGATCTATTAAACAATTTGGAAAGATCAAACAACCATCAGAAAGAAAGAACACAAAGATTTATAGTGGTTCACTATTTTGTTCAAGAGTTACGTCTACTGTGAGAAAAGAAATTCACTATGTTCAGAAGAATGAGATTACAAAATGTCCTTCTGAACTTGTCCTTTTTACATATATACCCCCATGCACTCTCTGTAATTCTCTTTATTTTATTTCGGGATATTTTTCTTATATTTTGAGATAATATCTCCGGTTGCTTGGGATTTATGCCAATAACCAGGATTTTCTCACTTACTTCTCCGCTTACTTCTCTTATTTAATTACAAATTATAAATCCCGGGGCAGGCCCCGTATCTCTCTTAATCCACGTGGACTTGACTTCCTAAACATTCTCTGAGCCATCTCCGCTTACGATTATCAATGCGGTCGATTTCTTGTTTTCTTCGACCACTCGGAGCGATCGACCGTTTTCGTACATTTTCTGCTTTACTTGCATTCTTCTCCTAAAAGAACCTTCGTCCGGCGTGACAACTTAGGATAAGGCAGTCTACGATTATTAAATGTCCTTATTTAATTCACATGGGTTTAGATTAGAGTTTAGAATTTTTACCCTACAACAACAATGATAATTAAAGGCAGCCATATACTCCAATAACAAGTAGGCTTCGTCAGCGGTTTTTGAAAAGAAAGAACCGCCATCGCAATTAGCCGCCCTGTTGTCCACTCAATCTCTAGCTTCAAAACAAAATCCTTGGTAGAATATTTAGAGAAGAGTCCACTTTGTCTTGTGATTTGGGAACATTTCAAACATATTTTTGAATTGCTCTTACGTCATGTAAAATAGTTCCATGTCTTGTTGGGCAAAACCTTAGAAATTTGGTGCACATTGAGTTGAAACATGTATGATATACGCTTTTTTTATACCATTATTCCCCTCCTAGTCTCGAAAAAGAAAGTAAGAACACAATATGTATCTAGAGTCATCCCGTGCGTTTGAACCACAAGTGAGTGTCCCTTAGTACTTTTATAACCAACTAAAAGGTGTGACCCTTTATAAAGTGTTCAGAAGTGTTGATTGTGTTTGGAGCTATTTTTATTTTTATTTTTTCACGTTTTTTAAGAAAAAAATGAAAATGAGAGAGAAACAGTGTTTGATACAATTAAAAATAAAAAATAGAAATGAAAACGATTTTTTGGTTTAGTGTAAAATGAGAGAGAAATGAAAAATGACTTTTAGTCATTTTTCATTTTTTGTTTCCGTTTTCTCCTCTCTCGAGCATATAGAGAGATATTAATGGATTTTTTATACTGAAAATAATCTCTTGATAAAACTACCAAATACATTTTCAAAAATAATTTCTTTCTGAGATTGAAAACGTTTTCATTTCTATTTTCATACAAAAAATAAAGTCATTTTAGAACGAGTTCTAAACACACCCATTGTGTTTTCTTCCATGTGGTACAATGAAAGTCTACACTTCTTTGCTTCATATTTGAACAACTCATACAAATGTCTTAGGTTATAGAAATCTAATGTCTAATGCATAAAACATTGATATCATGAAAAAAATAAAAATACAATTGACTGCCAATCTTTTCATTTTTCGCAAAAGTATTCGATATGTTCCCATTATTTCTATGACGTTTCCTATAATATTGTAAAAGTTACACTATAATATCACTAAAATCGATATTTTTACTGATATTTCTCAATACGTACTTATTTGTATTTTTTCAATACCCAAAAAATACTTCGGAAGAGTAGAAACTTCAAATTTTGATGGCAATTTAAAATTTCATTTTTCATGCTCTATTTTCATTCATTCTTACTTTTTCTGTCCCTATTTTCTCTATTGATTTCAATATCTTTTTTTTTCCTTGTAGAAAACCTTATTAAATGTTAATTAAATCTCGTTAGTTATAAAAGTGTACAAATTTTTAAGGAAATTTTAAAAATCCATTAATAAATTATCACTATTGTATTTTTGTCATTGTTATTAAATTTATCTCATACCATTAATAATTTACAAGTTATTGTTTGATAACCTACATAATATCTTTTGTAACTTGCAGATTATTTTTTATAATAACATTAAAATTTTGTATAGTAATATATAAAAGTAGAAAAAAAATAATTGTTAAACTTGAAATTTCTCATATTTTTGTTTGTCCATACATGAATCTGGTGTTATTTAACGATTTTAAAGTTAGAATTTTACCTTGCCACATTATGCTCTTTAATATTATTAGGGTTATTAGTTTAGGTAGGCCCGTTCGGTTCGTTAATTCGAGTTTTTAATTTAAATTGAGATGTGATATTATGTGAAAATTTTTTACTGTAATAAAAAAATTAAATATGACTGTTTAAAACTTTTTACTATAACAAAATTTAAATTCTAAACTTGAATCAACCAAAAAAACGAGGCCGGAACTATTACAAATCTACAATCGAAATCCCATCTTCTGCGAACTCTCGACGAATAAAATAAAACATAAGATGGCCACTCACTCAAATTCTGCCACCCAATGACAGCAAACTCTTTTCTCTCTTTTCTTCTTTTGGAGTTTTTTGCAAACAAAAATCAAGCACTTCTCTGCTAATATAAATATAAAGAAAAACTCACGTTCTACACTTCCTCTTTCATTTCAGAAACTTCCGCAGTTCTCTCTCCTATCTCTCTCTCTACTCTCTCTCTTGTAACGGAAAACCGTTACGGAGCGTCTGATCGGCCATTCAAGGCTTCGGAGATGACGGCGCTGAACGCGTTGCCGCCGTCGATTCGCGGTTCGTCGCCAGAATTGGAATCTGGACCTTCGATACCGCCGTCGCCGGCGAAGCCGGCGTTCTTGAAGGTTGTTGGCGATAATGCCGTTCTATTGGAGGTGAGGAAGATGAGAAGCTTGGGGCTCTACAATGGAGCCTATGTGAATTCGAGGTTTTCGCGGTCGATCAAGTCGATGAATGATCACGCTTCTGTTTCTGGTAACTTCATCCGCCTGATTTCTCTGATTTCTCTCGAGTTTGATTCGAACGTATAATACTGGTGATATGAATGTGATTCATTGCTTTATCTTGCTGGTTTTGATAGTAGATTCTTGTTAATTTCTAGTTCAAGCCCGCATTATTGGAATTAGTTTTCTTGCTTTTTAGATTTCTAGATTAATCAATGGCGAAACTATGAATTATTGAAACGAGTTGGTTCTTTTCTTTTCTTTTCTTTTTTCAAGGAAAAAAACGGTTAAGAACAATGGAAAACTGTGATTGAAAAAGTCATCACCTTTTTGAATTTTTAGTTGGTATTTTTGATTCCTTTATTATTCTTGTTTCTTTGTCACAACACTGTCTTAGCCTTAGGTATAGCTGAGGTTTTGTTTCCCCAAAAAAAAAAAAAAAAAAAAAAAAAAAAAAAAAAAAAAAGCTTGTTTTCTTTGACTTTACAGATAACCATTTGGAAAACATGTTTTTTTGGGGAAAATTCTGTTGCGGCGACTTAATTGAGTGGGGTCAAGTACGAGCCTGAAGATTCAATTTATCACGGATTGCTCTTTGTTTTTATAGAATCATTTATCAAATTAAAGATCAGGTGGATATTCTTTTGGTTATAGAGTTGATCTGGCTTGTTTTGCAGAGGCATTGAATGATGAGAATGTCCTTGTGTGGATTTGGAACTTTGATGAAAATGATGCACTTGTTATCCGTATTTAAAATTCCTCAACCCCACTTTGGCTTGAGTGGTACTTTTGATTATTCTTGTTCTGATCATAACTTGTTGGAGTGTCATTGTCAGACATTAGTTTTCTTCTTACATGGAATTAATTCAAGGTTCTAATCTGAACAAATCTTCTAACCAGGGAAAAATCTCCACCTTTTGTCAGCTACTAGGAAGTCGACAAACGTTACATGGCATAAATGCTCAGTGGAGAAACTTGATAGGCAAGAGCTACTTCAGCAAAAAGGCTGTGTCATTTGGATTACTGGTCTTAGTGGTTCAGGTTTGTTAATTTGATAAACTCCTTTTTATTTTTTATTTCCCTCCCTTTAGCATTTTTTATTTTTTAAAATGATCAGTAGTGTTTTTTACCCGTTAAAATGGTGTATTTAATAACACGTAATAAAGTTAGGCAATTTTTAGTTGGTAGATATCTGTACGTTTGGTTTGGCAGCAGAACCTGTTATTTGTTTACTTAAAAAATTTTTTTTTTTTTTCCTGTTCGTTGTTTTCTTCTTAAGGTTTTGTAGTTTTTGGTTGCATACTTATGCAGCATTATCATGCTAGGAACAACAATTCCTTGTGGAATTATACGTGTCAAATGCCAATAACCATAAAGGAAAACTGTCTTATGCATTCATTGGAAGATGCTGTCATCATTTGACTCAGCTTCCACTTGTCCGAGCCTTGTGCATATGTAAACAAATAGCTCTCGTCTACAGGGATTAGACAGGATACCTCTTGTGGTAGACTATTGTGTCTCTCTACCACCCCTTTTCTACTTTACTTTGACCAACTTTTTCTAAATATGTTTAATTATGGTTTATATTTTATTTTTACTGATAAGATCGAAATCAGTAACACTTCACTTCCTTCAAACTTTTCCATAAAGCAATCAGCTTTGTCCCAGTTCAGATTGGACGATTTATATTAAGTTCAACCTTGGCTTATAAGCTAATAACTTTAGTGGTAATATATGAACACAAAAAGCTTATTTCTTGGTCAAATATGTTTCTAATATCTAGGTTAGCATCCTATAGTACAATCACTAGTTTGAGCTACCATTGATTAGTACAGTGGTACATTGTCTTTGTGTGGGCCGTTATTTCACTTCCAAGCATGAACTCTGCGCCTATTCGTAAAATGCTACTTAAATTAATTTGAAAATACAAAATTGTAAAAGTTAACCTATTTGCTAGAGGAATTTGGAAAATATGAGTGATTCAGTGTTTAAAGGCCTTTGTTGATCCATATCTCGTATTCAAGACAAATAACAGCACTCTGGTACGCTGTGCTGATAAATGTTGAGCAATACTGATAAAGAAGACCATGAAACTAATAAAATGAGGCACCAGAATCAACCACTCAATCACTTTCTTGGTACACAAGACTAACACAACTGTCATCACAAATGACGGTAACATCACCTTCGGCGGCTACTGTATTAGTCTCTTTCTCATCTTTATTTCCTTCACCCTGTTCTCTTTTCCAAATTCTGCATTCTTTCTTGTTGCAGTGATAACACTTGATATTTTTTATGTTTTTAGATTTTCTCCTGAATGTATCATTTTTACCATGACCCTGAGGATGCCTACTTTTACTTCTTCCACGCCTTTCTTGTTTTTCAAAAGCAAGTACCTCAGAAGAAGATTCACCCTTTTCATTTCTTCTGGCTTCTTCACTCAACAAACTTTCTTTAACCATCTTCATGGTTAGCTTTCCTCTAGGCGCTAAAGTGCTTAGTGATACTACTAACGTTTCCCAACTGTCAGGCAAGAAGCTAAGAAGTAACAATGCCTATAACTCATCTTCAAGAGGCATTTTCATTGCGGCCAATTGGTTCACCAAGCCTTGAAAATCACTAGTATGTTCAGTCATATGATAAGAACAGAATATAGAATTCAACTAGAAAGAATTGAAAGAACGAATATGATCTTTATTGACTAACAGAAATGAAATACAAGAACAGTTCTTCGAGATACTGCCCAATCTCTCCTGCTCAGCATTAGCCAAGACTTCCTCAACAAGACTCCAGTAATTTCCTACCTCTCTATTGTCTGCTTATTCCCTATTTATACACAGTCCCTTATACAACTCTCAACATTCCCACTACTAACCACTAACCACTAACTCAGTCTAGTAACCTATTACTCCATCTTGCCTTTCCAAAAATACACCTGCTTAAGCAAAGGCTTATCAGGCTTATCATCATACTTTTTCCATCTTTGTAAGTCAAATTCACAAGTCTTCTAATGATCGAGGCTTTATTTCTGGAGGTATTTTTCTCATACATAATTAATTTATTCCAAAGTGCATCGGCTTTCATTTCTTCAGAAATGTGATTAAAAATATTAATATCAACCCATTGCCTAATCGTAGCAGCAACTTTCATGTGTAATGTTTCCCAATCATCATCACTTGTTTTTTCTGGCTTTGACTTGCCCATAACAGGCCCATACAAATCTTTAACAATAAGCAAATCTTTCATTTTACGCTTCCAAATGGAATAATTCGATGAGGTTAATTTTGTCATCCCATACAAATTTTGTTCTTCCATCTCAACACACAAGAATTAGCCTCTAGCCAACCAAAGGCTCTGATACCACTTTGTTGAGTGAAGAAGCCAGAAGAATGGAAAAGGGTGAATCTTCTTCTGAGGTACTTGTTTCTGAAAAACAAGAAAGGCGTGGAAGAAGTAAAAGTAGGCATCCTCAGGGTCATGGTAAAAAGGATACATTCAGGGAAAAATCTAAAAACAGAAAAAATGTCAAGTGTTGTCACTACAACAAGATGGGTCACATGAAAAAAGAATGCAGAATTTGGAAAAGAGAACAGGGTGAAGGAAATAAAGATGAGAAATAGACTAATACAGTAGCCGCCGAAGGTGATGTTACTATCATTTGTTATGACAGTTGTGTAGTCTTGTGTGCCAAGAAAGTGATTGGGTGATTGATTCTAGTGCCTCGTTTCATGTTACTCCTCATGGTGATTTCTTCACTTACTCTACCGGTGATTTTGGCAATGTCAAAATGGAAAACATTGGTGCCTCTAAAATTGTGGGCATTGGAGATATTTGCTTGGAAACTAATCTTGGAAGCAAGTTGGTACTCAAAGATGTTAGGCATGTTCCGGATATTCGCCTAAACTTGATCTCCACAGGCAGACTTGATGATGAGGGTTTTACTAGTTATTTTGGTGAAAGTAAGTGGAAGCTCACCAAAGGTTCTCTAGTGGTTGGAAGAGGGAGAGTTTTATTCCGCAATTATTAGTATTAGTTTTCCCAATAAATTGGTATCAGAGCCGATGGTTCGTATGGATTAAGCGATCACACTCGGTTACAGTTTTAACGTTGCCTCCCGTGGAGAGTTGGTGTTCTCGCAGGTGCGCGGATGGTGGAGCATTTGGTGGACTCGCATGGTTTCGGCTCTCTTTCTCATGTTTGAGTTGGCTCCCGTTTGGAGTGTGAAGCTTGGATGTACCGGCTACTTGAAAACTTTAATTCGAGGGGGAGCTCGGTAAAAACACACATGAGGGGGAGATTGTTGAGAAAAGTACATGTGTGTTGTCTCACATGGAAAGTTGATGAGAATGTGAAGTGGTTTATATGCATGGAAGGATCCAAGACTAAATAGGTTAACCTTTTAGGTCAAGTTGGGCTTCTGAAGTGTGTTAGACTAGTTTCGCATGTATGTAGTGTATCCCTAATAATAATGTATCTACAAATTTAGAATGTTTGATGATCATTTGGGTCCTGTCATTGATTACTTCCTAAAGAGTTGCATAAATGCAACTGTAGTATATTCCATGCCTCTCTCTCTCTCTCTCTCATATTCTCGCATATTTTGGTCTGTAATTCATAGGTAAAAGCACCTTGGCATGTGCTTTGAGTCAAGGCTTGCATATGAGAGGAAAACTGAGCTACGTCCTTGATGGTGACAATGTTCGACATGGTCTAAATAGTGATCTCAGTTTTAAAGCCAAAGATCGTGCAGAAAACATACGAAGGATTGGTGGGTCTCTGTTACTTATATGCTCCATATTCTCCTATAAATTTTTTTATATTTATCCTCTGCATAACTATTTCTTCCTTAAAAAAAAGGTGAGGTTGCAAAGCTATTTGCGGATGCTGGCATAATTTGCATTGCTAGTTTAATATCTCCCTACAGAAGTGATCGAGGTGCCTGTCGTTCACTATTGCCTGAAGGAGATTTCATTGAGGTTTGTGGTTATCTATGTGGCATTTGTTTTCCTAATATCTAGAGCACAAGAAAAATGGTTCCTTTTTCTTTTGTTGTTGCCTCTAAGGTGAATTAAAGTTATTACATCAGATCTCTTTGTTGCAATAATAGGTGTATTTGGATGTGCCACTTGAAGTGTGTGAAAGCAGGGACCCAAAGGGCCTATACAAACTTGCACGGGCAGGAAAGATAAAAGGTATGTTGTAGGGATTGTGTTTGAGATAAAAGCCTCTAATTTAATATTTACCTTTGCCGTCTGCCTTAACAGTTAAATTCTTATTTGGGATTTTTCAGGTTTTACTGGTATTGATGATCCATACGAACCACCATTAAATTGTGAGGTATGCTTGAAAAGGACGATCAATGCCAAAGTTTCTGATTCACCTCACTAGATTTTCTTTATCTGTAGACTGTAAACCCTCTGAAAACGTGAAATGCACGCGCGCGCGCACACACATTGTGTGCATAGATATATGTGTGTGCATATGTGTATATATACATATATATTTCCTGCATGTTTAGCCAAAATCTGACTGATATTCTTTATGTAGAGTTGTTGAACACTACAATCAAAATTTGTCTAGGTTGTGAGTTGTGACTGCTCATCCTAACATTTTTGTAACGTTGTTCATTCTTTTTACCATAAATGTTCCCTTGGCTTTCATTGGTTGACGTTACTTGCTAATTTTGATTCCTCTACCTTTATACTCTGCAGATAGTATTGCAACAGAAAGGAAAGGACGTTGTGCCACTTTGCAAAATGACCGAAACAGTGATATCTTACTTGGGGGAGAATGGGTATCTGCAGGCGTAAGAGTATAACTACAATACATCCCAATATTTAGAAATGTACATACGTCATTTTTTTTTTTCAGTCATTGGATGATGATGACAAATAACCAGCCTCGTTAATTTCGACGGATAATGTCGTTTTTAACCTTCATCCAACTGCTAAAAAAAGTTCTTTTTTTGGGATGTATTGTAGTGTTACTCAAAAGAGAGGCGTCTGATTCCTGGTGGTTAGAGGTTCTTTTACCTGTGTTATACGAAGGGAGAATGAAGTAAATAACAATAATGGAAGTAAATAGCAGTAAATTAAAATATTCTCGCGGTAAGGATCTTTTTACTAGTCATAATTAAAGATTTACGTGATGAATTTTTTTTTTTTACTGCTATTTACTTTGAATATTTAGAAATTTACTATTTACTTAATTTAATTTCATAAAAATGCTATTTACTATAATTTTAATACAGTGTGCGAAAGGGAAAGTTGTCGTCTTCCCAGCGATAAGAAAACTCCTCGTTTTCTGCGTCTGATCTGGTTCCATTCAAAATAATCAGTCTGTTGATTTATCAATGAATTTGTGTCTTCTATAGCTAGTGTTCTGGATTAGCAATAAACAGAGTGAACCAGTGGGGGAAATGCCTTTTGATGTATCCTAAATTTATGTCATTTTGTAAATGAATGCTGGTGTTGGAATAAACAATCCTTGCTACGCCCAACCTTATAGATATGACTTGTTTGTTAAGATTTCTGTCAGTAATGCAATCATGCAATTTCAAACAAATAAAAGCATCCCATTTGTTTTTGGATGTTTTCTCTGTTGCCCTAAAATGTCTATGCCCAACCTTGTAGTTATTTATTTGCTTTGTTTAACTTTTTATCTTTTGAATGAGTTGAGCAGATCAGCTCAACATCGTTTTCCATTTTAGGACAAGGCCAAAAAGAAAAGGGTCAACTGACGACATTTTGTGTCTTGTAGCTGAACGTGTTGCCAAATGAAAGGACAATTATGGCATTTGAAGAGCCTGGTAGAGGATTTAGATAATGTTCATATCAATTTACAAAATAAATAAATAAATCAAGAATTTCTTTTTTTTATTATTTTATTTTTATGAGCTGCATTTTGAGGTTATCAAAAACTTGTACCTTGTATTTTAAATTGCAGAACATTTATACCTTCACATTTCAAATTCATGTTAAATACTTCATTTTTTGGTCAAATATTGATTGTGACTAAAAAAAATCTAATTTGTACTTTTTTCTTATTATTTTTCATTATTTCTTTAAATGTGTTTAGATCTTTTTATGGTCAAAATTAACCATTGACTGAGAAAAGGTCGAAATTATGCATAATTTTAAAATGTGAAGGTATAAATATGCTACACTCTAAACTAAACTATAAGGTATGATTTTTTTTTTTTTATAATCTCGAAATGGGTATGGAGATCAATGACAAAAAAAAAAAAAAACAAAAAAAAAAATCACACACACACACTTCTTCACTTGTACAAGGAGTCCATACCTTAGCTGCATGGCCGTTTGTAAACAAGCCAAAAAAATAAAAAGAAAAATCACACACACACACACTTCTTCACTTGTACAAGGAGTCCATAAAGATCATGACCAAGTCTCACCTCTTCAATGTCTATGACTGGATATAAAACAGAGGAGAAGAGAATCGAAGCTCTCTATGATCATTCATGGATATGTAGAGCACAATTGACGTTGTGATGGACACCACGGCAGAGCTTAGAAGGTTGAAGGCGCTCCAAAATCGCCTCTCCTGAAGACCCCAAATCGTCCACGTTAACAATCCCAACCCATTCATCAACATTCCGAGCAAATTCGCCATCGTCGACAAAATGCAGAACCAAACACAAAGATGAAGAGATACTGCAAGAAGAACAACAGAAGAGAAAAAAAAGAGCCTTTGGTTGGAAGTTAAAACTCTCTATGCAAAAAACAAAAATGATGGGTCCTTGAAATAGCCCTTCCCTCTCTTTTAAACCTTTTTTTTTTTTAATTTAATTTAATTTTTTCTTTCCTTTTGCTGGTGGCCCCAGCAGGTCTCGTACTTATCGACTTTAAATTCTAATCAACTTCAAAAGCCAAAACACAGTCGGGAAAACAATACCAAACTGTCTTTATTATGAAGCCTTATTTAAATACTTTCGTAAGTGGAGTCACGTTAAGAGCTACTATATTGATTGTTTTTTTTTCTAAAGAAAAAAGTATTAGAAGGATATACCTGTGCTAGCTAGAAATTTAGAGGTTATTTAGTTTAGAGATTCGTATCCCAATTTAAATTATAATTTATGGTTTATTACAGTGTTTTTTCTCACAAAAAATATACGTAAATTAAAAATGGTTCTAATCTTATAATTCTAATATATGAACTAACTATTCATTTTTCATGGTTTATCAGTGTCCCAAATTATTGCCGCTGATGAATAGTATGTTCCTTGCAGAAAAGAAAAATGGTCGGTAGGAATCAAAAGGATAGCGCATAGTTGAAAGATATGATTTGGATTGAGACGGTTATTTTTTAAAAGGGTGTGGTTAAAAGTTAATTGAATAGACAAAAAATTGAAAGTACAGGTACGGCTTCTTTTTTTTTTTTTTTTTTTTTTTTTTTTGGGGTTTATAGCTTATTAAAAAAAAAAAAAAATGAAAATAAAAGGGCGGTTTTTTTTTTTTTTTTTTTTTTTTTTTTTTTTCGGCGTTTGAAGCCTCATCAAGAACTGGGATACTCAAAAAAGTAATTCTCAGTAGAGGTGCAAATAGCTAAAGGCGCCTTTGGTACATTGTATTAGCACCATCTATTTTATTTTTTTTTTAGAAGAATAATATGGTGTTTGGCAAATACGTCCTATAATTTAATACGAAATTCTACTTAATACAATTATGTATTGTAATATCTAATATTGAAAAAAAGAAACATATGTATTAGGTCGTATTGTCTAATTTATTTTAAAAGGCCGTACTAAAGCACATTGTCTCACATGGGTGTGGAGTCGTGAGGTTGGTGGATAGTACCTTTTGCTGCTCAAAATTTCTCTCTTCATTTGGCAATAAGCCAAAAGATCAAAAAGGGATTCAGTTATACACATCTCTTAATTAACAATGGACGTATTAATTAATTCCTTGTCAAAATGAAAGTGAAGTTATGGCGTTTTACCCTTCAAGGAAAGTGGTAGGAAATTGAGATATTAATAGCAATAACAATAACAATAATAATGAGAATAACAACAATAATGAGAATGATACATATTGATATATAATCAAGTAGAGAAACTCATATATATAGATATATATACATATATATTTCTATAAACTGAAAATGTGTAAGCAACTAAAGATCTTTATATCTAAAAATCTTGCCATGCATTACAATTTTTTATGCAAGATTAATATATTACACTAAGAAAATAAAAATACATAGTGATTAATAATTAGATCATACCTAAATATGGCTACAATAATGGAGATGACAAATCTGTAAACACGTCAAAGTGAGGATACATATATATAACAAAGAAAAAGATTGATCAGGAACATTTACAAAACGACATTATTTTTGCGATCACCGGTAAGTCTACGACTGGACATAAAGCAGAGCAGAAGAGGTTTCTGGTCGTCCATTTCTCTGTATGGACAATAAACACACCATTAATGACGTCGTCATGGACACCATAATAGAGCTCATAACGTTAAAAGCCATTGAAAATCGTCTCTCTTGAAGACCCCAAATCGTCCAAACAAACAACCCCAAGCCATCGAAAACCGTTCTTAGAAAATTCGCCATATTTCAGTAAACAACTGAGAGAAACTTAGAAGATGGTACTGATCGGAGTAGAGAAAAAAAAAAAAAAAAACCCACTTGGGATATTTCAGAAAGAATAAAGAAACACAACCTTTTGTTTAATAGATCAACTCTCCAAGAAATGAATGAAGATGGGTACTTGGTAGGCACTACTTGAGCCCTTTCTCCTAGTACTTTTCACTTTTTTCTTTGGAAAAGGAAGTTGGGTTTGCAGAGAAATAAATAGTATTTGGTTTGAAGCATAAGAGTATAGAGATTTCTGCTATAAGACTTTAAAAAATGAATTATTAGTAGGTTTTCATTTTAGTCATCGAATTAATTTGTATCAAAAACCGTTTGTTTAATATTATTTATTTTTAACCGTTAAATTAATATGTATAAAAAATCGTATAATTTTAATGTGACTTTAATTATATCTAATTATTAAAAATATAAACTATTAATAGAATGTCCTACCGCACATGATCCTAAGATTATAATAAAGAGTTTGGTTGCTTCAAATTATCATCCTTCCTCAAATAAGATAACTCTTAAATTCCAAAAGCAGCTTTTGCTTGAAGTAAGTGGCCAATTATCTCGGGTGAAGGTTTGTGACGCGAAGAGATACATGAATTGACATATTAGCAACTAATTTTGATTTTTATTGTTTTCTTGTTTGGGTATGTGACCACAAGAGGTCTTGTAGTTGTCGACCCAAATTCGAATCAAGCTTCAAACTTTCCTTGTTGCGTGCAATCTTAGAGTGGCTTTCAAAGCAAGTTATGGGCTGGAGAATTGAGTGGGTTTTCCTCTTCATTAAAATCAGTGAAGAAAACACAGCACTAGTTACTGTAAAAGTCAAAAGTTTCACGTGTGAAAAAGTATTATTCCGTGGACAAGTACGTGTAAAAGATACCCAATTGGAAGTTTGGAAATTAGAGTGAAAAAGTTCATAATAAAGTAAGGAGTTAGTTTTGAGCTTATGGAACGTATAACTCAATTGGAGTTTAAAAGTCTCGTTCAATTTATAAATTTAAATTTTTAATTTGAATTGAGATATAATTTTATATAAAAATTTTTTACTGTAGTAAAAAAGTTAAATGTAATTTTTTATGAGAATTTTTAACAGTAACAAAACTAAAATTAAAAACTTAAATTAGTAAAATAACCGATACCTTTAATAAGATTTAGAGACTATAATTTTAGAAAATGTACAACCCAAAATATTTGTTTTCCGCCATAAAAAAAGTTATATTTGTTATTAATTTCGAAGTGTAGAAAAAAAGTTGGCGATTGGCATGCTCATTTTTGTTTGGAGATAATTCTATCTTCAAGCAAAAACTAAGCGTGCCACCTATTACGGATTTCTTGGATTCTTTGGTTTTCATGCCTTTTGCTGGTGGTTGCTTTCTTTTGTTGCTGGGTGCCTGTCCAAGGCTGTGTCTGGTTCTCTTTTACGTTCAAATAGTTGAAACCGCGTACGAGTAAGTAAAAATAAAAAAAACATATTTATTAGGATCTTATTTAAAAAAATTAAAAAATTTATATAATGGGACAAAAAAATAAGAATGAAAAAAAAAGTATAATAAGGCAAAAGAAATAAGAATGTAAAGATGGTAGGAAAAAAAAAAGAAGAGAGAAAAAGGGGAGAAAAAAAAAAGAGGAAAGAAAGAAATAAACAAAACGTAAAAGAAAAAAGGAGGGGAAAAAAAAAACGTTTCGTTGCACGGTAGTGTGCGAAGCATAGCGCGACGAAACCCATTTTTCTTTAGTAGAAAGGTAAGGATTCGATGTATGGATTTCTTCTCTACCACAAATAAAAAATAAAAAAAATAAAATAATAAGCACTAAATTTATCGGCTTTCTTATTATAGTTTATTTGTGTATCAAATGATTATGATATTTCCCATTCGAATTAAAGAGGTATAAAGGAAAGAGATTACTTTGATGACTGAAAAAAAAAAAAAAAAAGACGAAAAAAAAGGGGGGCCAGGGGGGAGGATTTTTAAGGAAACGACATGTCATTGTTTGTCGGACGAAACGTCAACTACAGCTCAAGGGAAAATAGGCCCTGCAGCCACACGATAGATCATTTAATATTAGCCACATGCCATTTTTGTCTTACAATTTGCATGGCACAAGCTGTCGTTTCTTAAGAAACGACAAGTTCCTAGACAACAAAACTACATGAAGAAACGACATGTTGCTTTCCCTGAAACCGAAACGACAGAACTACAAAACAACTTAAGAAGCGACATGTCCTTTGACCAATTTTGCCAACTACCTATGCATTCAGACGCAAAAACCAAAAAGTATATGTCCTTTCTATGACCAGCCAATACATTGTTTCCAAAAAAAAAAAAAAAAAGGAAAGATTGCCGTTTGAGGACGGGCACTACCTACAACATCAAAGAACCTTTTATTATTGAAGGGAAAAATGTAGAAAAATTTTTAAAAAAGGTTTTTCCCCCTTTAATGAGAGCTGTATCATGCATGTGACATAGTAACCGTTTTTTTTTTTTTTTCAATCGGCTTTTTCTTAGAAATGTTAAAGAGTCTAAAACTTGATGTTAAGGAAATTCAAGCTCGGGAATTCAACTTCATATCTCTGGCAATAGAAGGAAGCCATCTCTCTCCCCTAACCCTTTTCAATTCCGCAACTCTCTCCTCTTCCCTCTTGGCTGCTTCCTTTGCTGCTGCCTCTTTAGCTTTTAGCCTCTCTAATGACTTTTGGCTTGCATCTCTTGCTGCAGCCATTATGTCTTCCCCATCAACAGCAACGGATTGTAGTCTTCTCTTAAACTGCAACCTCACATAACTATGTAAAATCAGAAGATCAATAATGAATTAAGTAAGCGCAATAAAAGTGAACATAGATCGATGAGGAGACCTTTTTCGACTTCTCGTCGATTTCTTTTCCCGGAAGAATTTTTGGTTTCTTTCTTGGTTGTTGAGGTTCATCTGATAACATGCACACGAGTTAGTCCTCAATGATAAATTTGGCAATAAGGCACGCAGAAATACGCTGTGCCTGAACACTGGTCAGCCGTCAGCTGAGGACTATCCAATTCAAAAACACTCTGAAATTAAATGGCTGCACTTGGGAGGGTTATCAGGACAATTTAAAAAAAAAAAAAAAAAAAAAAAAAAAAAACCCCAAGTGATGCTACAGCATTTCCCTCTTAAGGAGTCATATTGATCATAAAAGCAGGTTTCTTGCTCCAAGAAAACCAATCCATTTTCCGGATTACTTCGAACCTACATGTCAAGCACTTGGGCCCTACTAGCATGCAAGACAACTACAAGTTACATGGTTATGTTAAGGAGAGAAGAATGAAGAGCAGAGAAACGAAAAGAAAAAGTCTATTTAGAGGCAAATTGAATCGTGGGCATCTATATTTGGTCCAACAGTATAGCATTCCAAGGGCACATTATCAGTTGCTGAATTCTTAAAGCTCAAAGCTTCTGCATTAATTTGGCAAAAACTGAGAATACTGGATTACAATCATATGCTTACCTATATGATCAAGCACTATTCCTGGAGTAGAATGTTTAAACAAGCGAATTCCACCTCCATTACTCTTAGGCTCCGTATCTTCTTCACCTCCATTACTCAAGGGATCAGTATCTGGGGCATCAATAGGATAGTCTTTCACCATCACCAAAGTCTTCTCTAAGATACCATCCAAAATCTTTTGTGCCTGTAAAAGAAGCTTCTTTTTGTCCTAAACTAACAGAGTAGCAAAAACTGAAAAAGAACCATTCTGCGTAAACTTTAGACCAACAAGTTTCTATAGATAAGGAAGAGCTAGAAAAAGGTGGGCTGTAAAAACACAGGGAGAGAACAAAAATTTAAAACGAGAGAAAGCCCTGGGAAACATCAAACGACGGCAAAAAGGAAAGACGGCAAAAAGGAAAAACGACAAAACAAGTTTAATACAGGAAACAGCCTGATCGACGACAACAAAGTTTTGCAATTACAATTTACAAGCATCAGAAAATACAAGAAAAACGACAAAGGAAAACGCATACGAAAGAAGATAACGACAATAAATTGAAGAACCATACCTAGTATTTAGATTCAGCCATTTCTTTTGCTCGAGAAATTATTAACGTAAAAGGAAATTAGGAAAATCAATCGAATGACTTCAAAAAAAAAAAAAAAAAAAAAAAAAAAAAAAAAACGCAACCAAACTGAAAAATAAATCTGTGAAGAAGAGAGAGAGAGATTTATGGGTGACCTTGATTTGGTAGTGCTTGGGTTTTTGCTCTCGGCAATCATCACCGTCGTCGGCGGGAATAGAAGATTGTTTGCCGGCGGAAGAGGCACCGTTGGGAAAGGAAACGACACAAGAAGAAGTGGTGGCGGCGACTGAGTCGATGGCTTTTCTCCACTCGGCGTCTCCGTCTTCTTCTCCGCTGCTGATGCTCTCACTTGCCCCTCCCATTTCTTTTTTCGCTGCTGAAGCACTGAAATGAATAAGATTATGCCATCCCATTGGCGTAGTGGGCTGGGCTACAATTTTTACCTTTGCATCCATTTATCCAACATTTTTCCCGTTTTACAATTCTTTGATTAAAGAGTACTTAATTAAAGGGATCTTTTTTCGTACCTTAATATGGGGTAATTTTTTTATTTATTTGATTTATAAAAAATTATATAAAAATTTTAAAAAATATAGATTTCCTTTTTAAAGGCTACATTCGATTCTGACAACGGGTAAAGCTACTGCCCTACCTTGTATGCAGGAATCGACCAAAGAGAAGAAAATCAAATTCTTTTCTTTAAAATTGAAAAACGGATGAGATTAGAAAGGCCATCATTGGGGCAAACGATGCAATAGCTTCGGTTAGAGCAAAGTCCAAAATGGCATAACCAAATAATTGTTTAGCTAATGATGGATTCCGTGCCACAGAATGAATTAAAGAACTGAAGACGTTTCCAATACCGACAACAGCTCCCGCTAAAGCAATTGTAGCAACTCCGGTACCTATTGATTTTGCACCTTCTAACATAAGGACAAGAAAAAACCTCCTCACGCTTCATTTTTTGTTTTGTTTTTTTTAAAGGTAGGGTTGTACTAAAATATTTTCCTTAATTAAATACAAAGTTAAAAATTTAAGACTAGAGTTACTTGTCTTTTTTTTTTCTTTACAGATACGCTCATTTTGTATGAGGTGAAAAAATGAATATCCACAAATTAAAATATTTACACATAAATTTGTAAAATAATCAAAAATAATATTTCAAGCCTTCGTTAGCTAATCTTAAACTTAGTTTTAAAAATTCAAAACTATCCAAATAAAAAGAGTAAAACCAGAATAATGTTATTCTAATAACAATAAATAGACAAATTAATAATATTATTAAATTAAAAACATATTTTAAATATATAATTTAAAAATAATATTTAATTATTTAAAATGATAAAAATAATAGACTTATATAAAATCACGAGGAATCATCTTTGAGAAAATTATTAAAATTTGAGACTAAAAAAGATAATAATCCAAAATAAAATTCAAACATCCACGATGGGCTTCTAAGACGTTAGGACGGTTATACGGCCCAAAATTAGCCCATCTTCGACCCAGTTCCAGAACCGGCTAACCCAGAGCCAGCAAAGAACCGCCGGACTCTCTCTCTCTCTCTCTCTCTCTCCGAGCATAAGCTCCAGCAGTTGCAAGTAGAAGGACAAACCCTAACCTTTTCCGAGCGGATTGATTTGCTGAAATTGGAGTCTCGGAGAGTCAGAATTCCAAGCCTTGTTATCAGAATCTCTTGCCTTGGGGTGATTTAGGGTTCGAGCGAAGGGGCCGAGTCTGAGACTCAGAGAGATAACAAAATGGGGAAGAAACAGCACAGCAAGGACCGAATGTTCATCACCAAGACCGAGTGGGCCACCGAATGGGGCGGCGCCAAGTCCAAATCCAACTCCACCCCCTTCAAACGCCTTCCTTTCTATTGCTGCGCGTACGCTATATATATATATATATATGTGCGTGTTTGAATTAGTGAATTATGTTGAAAAGTCTAAAATTTTGCGGAATTGTTTCTATGGAAACTTTGATGCAGTCTCATATTTACGCCTTTTGAAGATCCTGTTTGCACTGCCGATGGAAGTGTCTTTGATATCATGTGGGTATCTCAAAGTTCGTTTTTCTTTTTTTGTTGACCTTTTTTTTTTTTTGGTTTAATTTACTTACCTCCATGGTTTTGGGTTTGCAGGAATATAATTCCATATATTAGGAAGTATGGGAAGCATCCAGTAACTGGGGCTCCCCTGAAGCAGGAGGATCTCATCCCACTTACTTTCCACAAAAATCTCGAAGGTTAGTGTTTTCTTTACCTACATTTTAAGCTCATAAAAAATATATAACATGCATTTTGGATTAGTCTTTGATAAACTACAGTCCACGACGACCTTACCCTTATAAGATTATTCATAAATTTGTTAATTCACTTGTTCACTCTTATACATCAGAGCTAGTAAAGCCATTATTTAAGTTATCAAAACCAGCATTTGACTAAGAGAAGGTATAACTTTGATTTGAAATCGATACCTAAAGGTACAATATTGAGGTCCCCAAAATGTTTGCTCTATATTTTTATAAACTTAAAATGCAAGGTATAAAAATAGTACATATTGTATGGAAATGTTATGTAAAATTATGAAATGCTTTGTGGACTGTGGTTCATTCATGCAAGTACCTGTTAGGAATTAAATTTACTCGATTTGTGTAGTTCTATTTTATTTTATTTTTTTCAGAAGGATGGGCTCCTTGTTGGTCAATGTTTAATTTTATGTTGATATCAGCTAAGATTGATGATGATGGACTTATCATGCCGGCATGCCTTGGAGAACTAGCTTTATTATAAAACGTGGATATTATTTGCTTGAACTAGTTGATTTTATAGTTTAGTTTCTCGTGTCAGCTAATTCAAAACCTGGTATCACCTTTTATTTGTAGGAGAGTTTCACTGCCCAGTGTTGAACAAAGTTTTTACGGAATTTACACACATAGTCGCTGTGAAGACCACAGGAAATGTATTTTGCTATGAGGTTTGTCATCTGCTGGTTATTACTGTTGGTTGTTTCTTTATCAGTACCTGCGTATTTCCCCGTGTGCCCATGTGTGGGTGGAACTTGGAACTCCTCTCAAGCTCATAGTATGGTTTTTTTCCGTTGTAGGCAATTAAAGAACTAAACATCAAGACAAAGAACTGGAAGGAGCTTCTCACTGATGAACCATTTTCTAGGGAGGATCTTATTACCATTCAGGTCAGTGGTTTTTTATCTTTTTTTTGTTTGTCAAATTCTGGCTAATATTTTTTGTTGGCTTGAGTTGTGCCTATGCTCATGATTATCATTTGCAGAATCCTAATGCACTTGACAGCAAGGTTCTCCTTGATTTTGATCATGTGAAAAAAAGCTTAAAAGTAGAAAATGAAGGTGAGCTAAAGGCTTCATCTACCATGTAGGTCCACTTCTGGTTCATTTTATGTTTTTACTATTTTATTATTTCTTACCAGTTTCGGTTTATTTTTGCAGAGTTGAAGAAAATGAGTTCAAATGCAGCATATAATATAAACGTCTCTGGAGATATTATGCAGATGCTGGCAGAGCTTGGTACGGAGAAAGGAAAGCAAACCGCTCTGCTTGGAGGAGGTGGCAGTAAGGCACAGAATGAAAGGGCTGCGGCACTTGCTGCCATTTTGGCTGCGAGGTCGCGTATTAAAGAAGATTCTGAAAAAAATTCAAATGGAGAGGGTAAACCTTCTCAGGCTTTCAGCATAGTAGATGCTGCATCTGCTTCTGTCCATGGTAGAAGTGCTGCTGCTGCAAAAGCTGCGTCAAGTGATAAAACTGCTGCTCGAATTGCAATGCACATGGCTGGTGAGAGGGCACCAGTTAACGCTAAGCTGGTTGGTTTTCCATACCCTACTTAAGCTCCCCCTCTCCCCCCTCTGTTGCTTGAATTATTTAACCCCAATTTTAAAATTAATTACTTGTTGGTTGAAGCAAAGACTTGTAGTTCAAGCATTTTTTTTGTTGTTGCTCTATGTGTATGAATGTTAGCGAGTTTATCCTACTGTGGATTTTCTTTCCTAGCAACGATGGTCGGTATTGATTCGAGTATTTGTTTCAGGTCAAGAGTCAATACACTACTGGTGCTGCTTCAAGATCCTTCACTTCTACCTCTTTCGATCCTGTGACTAAAAATGAATATGAATATGTCAAAGTTGAGAAGAACCCTAAGAAGAAAGGATATGTTCAACTGCATACCACCCATGGTGATTTGAACATTGAGCTCCACTGTGATATAACCCCCAGGGCTTGTGAGAACTTCATCACTCTATGTGAACGCGGCTATTACAATGGTGTTGCTTTTCATAGAAATATTCGGTACAGTGACCTTTCTAATTTAAATTCTACTCGAGGATGCTTGTTGTGTATGTGTATAAATTATTTGATATAATGATATTTTATTTGTCATTGTGACTAATCTCGCATGATCCCCTTATTACAGGAATTTTATGATTCAAGGTGGTGATCCTACGGGTACTGGGAGAGGAGGTGAATCAATATGGGGAAAACCTTTTAAAGATGAAGTAAACTCCAAGTTGCTTCACTCTGGAAGGGGTGTTGTTAGTATGGCAAACAGTGGGCCCCATACAAATGGTTCCCAGTTCTTTATCCTCTACAAGTCTGCAAATCATTTGAACTATAAACATACAGTTTTTGGCGGAGTTGTCGGTGGGTTGACTACACTGGCAGCAATGGAAAAGGTTCCTGTTGACGATAATGATCAACCTTTGGTAAGTTCCTGTACCATTCTTTTCAGATGTTGATGCTCCCGCCTGTTTATTTCATTTTATTGTTCACATGATTCAATTAATCTCATCCCTGAACTGATAGTAGGCGTGGTATTTAAAATACATCTTTGATTCAAAATTGCACACGTAGTTCCACACGTGTTTCAAATGTGTTCTAATCTTGATATAGCGTGTTTGTATACTGGGATTTTTGTTTTGATGTGTTAGTTTGCACTAGTAGCTGCAGGGGAACTTGTTTCTGGTTTGTTGGATATATTTATTTGCTACCATGAATCATAAGACTAACTAGAAGCAATCTATTACGTTCCCAATTCCCATGCTTTACTTCTAATATTCCTTCTCTTACATTCATGCAGGAGGATATCAAGATAACAGGTGTAACGGTTTTTGTGAATCCTTATTCAGAAGCAGACGAGGAAGAAGAGAAAGAAGCAGCTGAAAATGAGAAGAAAGCTGAGGATGACGAAAATGTTTGTTCTTAAACCCTTTAATGGCCCTATTATATACACGCGCGCGCGCACATAATTCTGCGTGACCAATATTGACCTTGCTAGTTCCTGTTACATTTCAGGAGAAGATTGGGGACTGGTTTGCCAACACGGGTACAGGAACAGCGAAGTCTGGACCAATTGGTGGCGGTGGTGTCGGGAAGTACTTGAAAGCCCGGAGTGCTCAAGAGGAATCTGCTACTGTTGCCAACGGCTCAACCGCTGTGGCAAAGAAAAGGAAGTTGGGCTCAGCGGTAGAATTCAAAAATTTTTCTGCATGGTAAATTCCTCAAATTTTGTATCATATATACAAGTGACTTGGAGATGTAGTCTGCAGGCCTAAGGCCAGCATCATTATATATTCTCCGCAAGTAAAATAGGAAATTACAAACAGCTTTATAGGAGCATTTGTTGTTTTTGTTTTGTTAATTTACAATGAGATGTATTCCATTATAAATCAATCGCCCCTGCTACAATAAAACACACATCTTTTCCAGAAGCTGGTCTTTCTGTAACGCGCAACATTTTCATTGAATCCCAAAGTGCTAACCAATTGAGAATTATATTTTCCTAATTTGACATTTTTACAGAATGTTAGGAGGCAACCAAAGCATTATCCATACAGCTTCTATATAATCTTCAGTTCAATGTATAGCTCAAAAAAAAAAAAAAAAGGTTTTATGTCACCATTCTAGATTAAAACTAAAACAATGTAATGACGCATGTACAATGTCATCTTTTTTTTTATTTTTTTTGACAAAACTAGACAAAGAGTTACTTTCGTCCACCACCAAGCCCTGCCCCGCCACAACATATACCGGGACCAGTCGACTGTAAATGGATGCATCTTTATTCTTTTACGACAGAAGAGGAGAATTATGAGGTTAACCAATAGAAGAAGTGGTTTTTAACTGCGAGGATAAAATTTACCCTAAAATCTATGATGACAGTCCGAACTTTTACCGGCCTCCTGAACATGTGCCAAGTTCCCACTGAAAACTGAGCCTGAGCAGTGTAGAAGCTTTTATCGAAAGGATTGTTTGGTAACCTGGAAAAATGGAGCAGAAATTTTCCTTTCCAGCATCTGATTTCTGCCTTATGCGAACGAGTCAGGGTTTGTCAAGTTATGCATGTATTCAATTATGGAGCTTTGAAAATCTGCCAGCATTGGTGCTCTAATGAGACCCACATCACACCCACCCTTGAGAGGCCTTCACTGGATTGCACTTTAGAAACTGTCCAATATTTCAGAAAAATATATATATATATATATAAAAGAAAAAAATACGGGCATTCTAAGGTGATGACATTTAGCCGATAATGAAAATATCGATAACTACTTTGTCGATTTTTTTTTCCACATGATGTCCATAAGTCTGACTCTCGCTACAAATAAAAAGGGTTAAGAGATTTATTTTCTCAAGTATTCGATATTTTCTGGACACTAAGCATGGAGTATTAGTATTTTTTTTTTCTCCACAATTTTACCTAAATATTCAAATATAAGTCCATAGTTCTATGAATATCCACAATTAATCCATTAGTATCCAAAAATATAAGAAAAAATAGACTTAATTAAAAAAATATCGAAATTCACATGTCTTCTATTTTTTTTTTTTTTAATGAGTATTGTCAATGAGTTTTTCAAAATTATTCGAGCATTATATTGGGAACAAAAAAAAAATCTATTATTTGGACTAGGATGGAATGCAAAACCTATATCTTTAATTTGAACCTCCACGGAGTTCATTTTTTGGTACTGAATTTTAAAGGAAGAAACATTTTTGAATTTAATTATGTACTTTATTTGTCTGTGTTGTGTAAAATATTGTGTGATTGTAAAAATTTTACAACGAAATAGGTTGTTATTTGGCTAATATATATTTATAATATATGTTGCAGTATATATATGTTCATTATATATACTGCAAATAGATTCATTACAAACATATAAATTGTATTGACAAAATTAGGTTATTAAAACTATTACACTTCCCACAATTTCAATTGAAATTTTCAATTTTCAATTTTCAATTTTAGTTTAATGCCCATCATTGTTTTTTTTTTTTTTTTTTTTTTCCTGATATTGACATTGATATATTCAACATTAATATTATCCATTAACAGTACTACGTATAAAAAGTAAACCATAACCTTCAATATTCATATCAACATCAATATTCTACCACATACACCCGGGGGTCATTTTTAAAAGAAGTTCCAATGTTGAACAAGTTGTGATACATTCTTAGACAATGACGTAATTAATGATCTCATAACATTGAGTCAAATTCTAGCTATAGACAATTGAACGTATATATAATAATATCATGTTATTTATATATAGCTTATAGCATAATGAGGATTATATTAGAGTTTTTAATCACGTAAGTGTTCTTCCAACGTCACACCAAGGCAATCATACAGAAAAAATTTGGTTAACAACTCTAAATTAAACCAACAAGTGGGGCCTTCAAAGCATCATCAACTTAGGAAAAAGAAAAATGAGAAAAAAAAAAATCGCAAAAAATCATTTCAAAGAAAAGCTATGTGAAAGGCCGGCATCAATCCATGTTGGAGATCAGTTCAAATAGTATTGGTTGGAGTGTGGGACATCAGGCAAATATTAAACTAATTTAATGAAAAAGTAAAATTTAAGTCTCGTTCATTTAACCGATTTAAGTTTTCAATTTTAGGTTTTTATAGTTAAAAGTTCTTAAAAAATATCACATTTAATTTTTTCTGTTACAGTTAAAAACTATCAAAAAATGTCACATTTCAATTTAAATTGAAAACTCGAATCTGCGAATTGAATGAGACCCATTATGCAACTGAATTTTGCAATATAGTTTTTTTCCCCTGGATAAATTAATTTAAGCTGGTCTAAACAGAAAAATAATTCTTCTTTGGAGTAACAAGCTTTTTACGTATAAACTAAATCCACTTGGGCACTATGGTTTTATTATTATATATTATTATTGTTGTTTTTGTTTTGATTTTTTTTATTATTATTTTGATAAATTACTTGGAAAAACTATATAGTTTAAGAACAAAACAAGATAGCCGTCGTGACGCGATCCACATAAAATTTCAGCATTATGGTTGGGTAATTGACATTTCATCTACAATATTCATGTTCTAATATTATTAAACCAAGATTAGAAAAATAAATATCTCAAAAAACCATAACACATCCCCTAATCAAGCTTTAAACTAAAGTCTCTAGCCCATTATTTTATTATACGTTTTTGGTTAAGCTTTGTCTTATTCACTCCGTTGTGCTTTAATTATGATGTCAGGAATTTAACGGTTCTAACGTGGAAATAAACATTTGGTTAATCTCTAGTAATTATTAGGTCTTCTACATGGGAAATTTCTTCGGATAATCATTTGGAATTCAGTGACCGCCCAAAACATGATATGGGCAAATATGCATTGCCGTCTGTGCTTCTTTGTCTGAGTTGATGACTTCCAAGGAATCTACCACAAAATTCTCTTTAACCAAAAGAGTCCAAACCAATGGGATTTTCCTAGTGGTTGATGAAGAAAACCAAGAACAAGAATAAGAGCTGTTTTGGACATGAATCCCATATTGGACAACAATTCTCACATATATATATATATATATATCTATATATATATAAATACATTCGCCTTTTTTAGATATATATAAAATTATATACACTCACCTTGACTGCTTGACATAAGAGATAATAATATAGGAGTGCAGTCCGTTTATTTATTTATTTTTTCTTGTTTTCTAATTAAGATAAAAAAAAAATGAAGAGACGTACATTATGGACAACAAAAAAGCCATCTGACCAAACATTGTTAGTACTATACTCAAAATTTTGATTCAGAAATATGTGCTCGGCGTTATCATGGATTATCCTATCCTGGGATAAAGGAGACAAAGATTTTCTCTCTAGAAGGAATTAAAATTCAGCTTGAAGACAACAAGGTTAGGACAAGGAGAAATTGAGTATTGGGCTTTTTGGGTGCAATCATAAAGAAAACCAACCAACATTGACTAGGAAGAAAACAGAGAAAGAAAAAAAAAATGGAAGAAAGAAAGAAAAGGAAGAAACTCACTCAAGTGGATTCTTCATAGATTTTGGTACTCAAAATGTGTGTTTTGTGTTTGTGACAATATGCAAATGGGAGAGAACTGATTTCTTGTTGGGCTAATCTAGAGCTATCTAGAGAAATGACCCCATTGGCCGTTGGGGGAGTGAGATTAAAGGTGCGTGTGTTGTATATAAACTATCAAAAGAGTGGGAAAAAGGAGTTTGGAAAAAGAAGTGAAAGTGGGATGCCCTAGATTTTGGTGAAGGGGTACATTTTGGTATTTAAACACAACATTATAATATTATACAATACATCATGAGTGGGAAATTCATTCATAGTATATATATATATATACATATATATTTGTATGTATGGGTTTATGTAACATTATAGTATAAAAAGAGGAAAAAGTGAGAGGAGGAATTTTGGCAGGTTTTGGAGAGGGATTAGGAGGCAAGGAATGTGAGTGGGATGTGCAGGCTGATGGTGGCTTTGATGATGATGATGATGCACGCCGGCAGCTTTACTCTCTCTCTCTCTTTCTCTCTCTCTCTCTCCTAAAAACCCAGTTGGCACGCCTGCTCCCACTACTCAAAAACTCAACACATTCTCTCTCTCTCTCTCTCTCTCTCTCTCTATGTGCTTAAAAGAATGAAAAGCTAATCCACTAACCCATTTGGTGATCTTGACCCGGCTAACTTTTTCATCTTTTTGTCAGAAAGAAATTCTATTTCTAAAACAAAACCCAGCTAGAGCTAGTCCCATCGCACCCCCACATTCCGAGTCTTAACAGGAAAAAAAAAAAAATTACCTACTTAAGTCAGTCCTCACTCCTCATCACACAATATTAAGCTATTATAATATAATATTAAGAATAGTAATATGAAGCTATTAATATAGTATAATATAAGCTCAAAAAATAAAAGTATGAACAAACCAATAACCCAAAAAATAAAAGTGGAACAAACCAATAACCCCCCTCCCCACATTCTTCATCGGTTACACCAAAAGAAAAGCACATAGATTCCCTCCTTCTTGACTAAAACATTGTTTTTGCTTTCTTTCTTTTCTTTTTTTTTTTTTTTTTTTTTTTTGAAATTAAACTTATAATGACCAACTAAAATCCAACTCCAAGATCCCCACACAGTTAAAAACACAAACACTCGTCATCTCTTATGTTATTACTACAACAACTAGTACTACCAGTTCCACATTCAAAACTCACCAAAAGTTAGAAAACTCTCAGAGTATATTATCCCATATATTTGATGTGGGTCTTGCGTAGGTTAAAACATGGATACCTTATTCAGATTAGTCAGTCTCCAATCTAGTACCACTGATCAATCTTTCAACTCAAGCAGAACTTCTAGCAGCTCTAGATCCTCTAGATCACAAACTAACCGTTACTATCATAACCAACACCACCAACACCAAGAAGAAGAATGCTTCAACTTTTTCATGGATGAAGAAGACTTTTCCTCGTCTTCTTCTAAGCACCACCACCACCACCAGCACCACGGCCACCATCATCAGTCCGCCACCCTGTATCCTTATAACCAACCGAACCCTTCCCCCACCACCACCACCACCGCCGCCACCAACGCGAGCACCTCCGCCGCCACCGACTATTCGTTTTCGCCCGCCGGGGACCTAATCAACATCGAATTCTCCGCCAAGTGGGCGCCGGAGATCCTCCTCGAGACCGCACGTGCCATCGCGGACAAGAACTCCGCACGTGTCCAGCAGCTCATGTGGATGCTCAACGAGCTTAGCTCCCCCTACGGCGACACCGACCAGAAGCTGGCCTCGTACTTCCTCCAGGCCTTGTTCAGCCGCATGAACGACTCCGGCGACCGGTGCTACCGCACGTTGACTTCCGCCTCCGACAAGACTTGCTCGTTCGAGTCAACGAGGAAGACGGTGCTGAAGTTCCAGGAGGTCAGCCCGTGGACGACGTTCGGCCACGTGGCGTGCAACGGCGTGATCATGGAAGCCCTCGAAGGGGAAACGAGGCTCCATATTGTGGACATCAGCAACACGTATTGCACTCAATGGCCGACTCTTCTGGAAGCCCTAGCGACGAGAACAGACGAGACGCCGCATCTCCGTTTGACCACCGTCGTCGCCACCAGAACCGGCGGAGGATCGGTGGGGGCGGCGCAGAAGGTGATGAAGGAGATAGGGACGAGAATGGAGAAGTTCGCGAGACTCATGGGCGTTCCTTTTAAGTTCAACGTTGTGCACCATTTCGGTGACCTTTCTGAGCTCAACTTGGCGGAGTTGGATATAAGAGACGACGAAGCCCTAGCCATTAACTGTGTCAACTCTCTGCATTCAATCACAACCATCGGGAACCGCCGCGAATATTTGGTGTCGGCGTTTAGGAGCCTGAGGCCGAGGATAATCACCGTCGTAGAAGAAGAGGCCGATCTCGATATCGGCGTCGATGGCGTTGAGTTCGTTAAGGGTTTTCAGGAGTGCATACGGTGGTTTAGGGTTTACTTCGAGGCGTTGGACGAGAGCTTTCAGCGGACGAGCAACGAGAGGCTGATGCTGGAACGCGCCGCCGGACGCGCCGTCGTGGACCTGGTGGCGTGCTCGGTGGAGGAGTCTGTGGAGCGGCGGGAGACGGCCGAGAGATGGTCCCGAAGGCTGCATGGAGCGGGGTTCGGGCCGGCTGCTTTCAGCGACGAGGTTAGCGACGACGTGAGGGCGCTGCTGAGGAGGTACAAGGAGGGGTGGGCGATGGCGGCGCAGGACGGCGGCGCCGGAATATTCCTGTCGTGGAAGGACCAGCCGGTCGTTTGGGCTAGTGCTTGGAGAGCTTGATTGAATATTGATGAGGGTGACACGTGGCTTATGCTTGAGAGTGATTCGCACGTGTAGTATGTTTTTTTAGCACGTGCATGATATAATATGGCTATTGACATTGTGTTTGGAAGAGAAGTGGGGAAAAAAAAAAGTAAGTAGGGGAATATTGTTAATTGTTGGTTTGAATAGAAATGGAAGTACATTAATTAATTCCCATATATAACCCTTATTAATGTTAATTATTGTGGTTTTTGCGATAATTAATTTTCCTCCTTGAATTTATTGACAATATATATAGTGTTTTCATGACATATATCATGATCCTTATTTCCTCATGCAGGCATATATATATATATATATATGCATCTCTTTATATAATATAACAAAATTGGTATCGAAGTATTGATCAATATTTGTGATAATCGATTGCACACATAATATAGGACAATAAACTCGACAAAAATGATTCTATTTTGACCGGCGAGACGCAGCCTGCGCCAGTGTCTCTATGCTTAACCTATTAAGACAACAACATCAATCATTCATGCTCTATTAAACTTGAAAGCGCATATATATATATATATATATTTATATATACACACACACACCACTTTGTTATTTTCTTGACAATACATAGATATATATATTAGACAATTTTCAATCAATTTGTTTACATAAGGGGTCCAGTGGGGTTTGGTATTTTGGTGTTGTTAAGCATGATATGATATCTACATCTCAAAAATATTAAGAGCTATATACATATACATATTATATATATATATATATAATTGCCGTGGCCGTGGGGAGGTTTTGATCTTTTCAATCTTAAGCACGCTTAAATCTGCAAATTATTAATTAAGAAATAAAAAGGTCCTTATCTAGTAATGGGGTCATAGAATCTTAGGACGGCCACTGAATTGGGTCGTGTTTGGGGGAGGGGAATCTCATAAAAAGGTGTTTGGTCATTAGTGGCCAGCACGATGGCTTCAATATGGTTTGCTTCTGCGCTCCAAATTTTCTTCTTTACACTTCCTTTGTATATATATATTTTTCCTTTTTGAAAAAGTTTATCCTCTTTTATTCGACAAGAGCAAAAGAGAAAGAGAGGTAAGAGAGAGTTGAGTCCTTTTCTCTTTTTTTTTTTCTCTGGCTATTGCATGGCCAATGGCCCCCACCCACCAGCTCCATGTTGAGTGACCAAGAAAACACTTTCGTGGTACTTTTGGCCCGCGGAAAGGAGAGGAAATTAGTAAAGAAGTAGCTAGGAAAATCAAATGAAAACAAAACAAAAATTAACATACATCAAATACACACACACACACATATATCTATATATATATATATATGTGTGTGTGTGTAATCAATATCGTTAATAAATTGGTAATATTTAAGTGGGGAAACACTTCTTTTTAGGGTTCTTTTTTTTTTTTTTTTTTAGTTTTTAATAATCTTTTGATAAGACTTGCCCCCTCCACGTTGACATCTCCACTTTCCCGTATCCTTTTCCTCAGAAACTTTATATTCTTTTCTTTCCTTTATCTCTCTGTTAATATCAGCTTGATTATTATCTTCTTTACTTGTGCTTGCATGTGGAGTTTTTTTTTTTTTTTTTTTTTTCTCTTTTATTTTTTGTTTCATTTTTTCCTTTCTTGAGAAAGCTGGTTGGTGACCCATACCTTTGTTTAGCTTTAATTCCCGGGTTTTCCTTTTTTGACATTGACCAAGATGCTTCTTTTATACTCTCTCATGGGGATGGGGACAACGGTCTCTTCGTGGAAACGCATTGAATTTTTTATTTTTTGTTTTTGTTTTTTTGCTTTTAGTGCTAATTTTGTAACATATTTAGAGGATATTTAGTAGAGAGAAACTGTGTTATAAGTTTAAGTTGTTGGAGTATTATGCGTTGTCCTTTTCTGTTATGTTTTTCATAATAAAGACATACATAGAGATGATAGTATTTTCTGCGGGAACGGATCCCACAGAAAACCACCTCCAATTGAACAGGGATGAGGAAGGAGACGGCGAACGAGAATAAAGTGTTGTCCCTACATGTAGCGGGATACGGTCAAAGAAGTACTCACCACTCATAAATTTTACGTATATATATTAATTATATAAATGCAATTAGTTCATATGATTTACTACAAAAAGAAAAGGTAACTATTATTATTAGAGTTTTTTACTTTTTTTTTTTTGTAATTATCAATTAATAATATTGTTAGTTTACCGATCATTCAAAAAGTTTAAGCGGTTAAGAGGTGGGTCAATAATAATTTTTATATTTTAACACTTCTCCTCAAGTGTGAGCTGGACAATGGGCAATTGTGTGGATAAATTAATTAGAAAGCCCAACACGTGAATATTTAAGCTTGAGATATATTAAAAACTCAACACATGATGACAATTTAAATGGAGATAAAGAGTGCAATTACGGTGGTTTGAATTCAAGATCTCCTCCTATAATACCATGTTAGCTTACCAATCCATCCCAAAAACTTAAGCTGTTAGGAGGTGGATCAACAATAATTTTTATACTTTAACAAATTTAAGTCGGCTAATATTCTTTTATTTCTTATATATACTTCTAATACGTTTTGATGTTTTCAACTGTTTGTAGCTTGTGTGTTAATCATTACTTATCACTCTTTTACAAAGATTTCGTTTGCACATTTATAATTTAGTTTATTTTGTGCAACATTTAATTATTTTGGCCTTAATTTAAATTTCTACTTTATTTTGTTTTAAATTACTATAATTTTAAAATGCACTGTTATATTGACCTCAACCGTACGATTTAAATAATAAGACACTATAAGTGTCCAACCTCTTACAATATGAATGGTCTGATTTAAATTTTATGAATCAATGATTCTATTAGATGTAAGTACAATAGGTGCTCCCATTGTCCAAACAAACAAATTGACAACTCGGTTGTTTTTTCTTAGACATCGTTCACTTCGCGGATTCGAGTTTTCAATTCGAGTTGAGATGTGACATTTTTTGAAAGCTTTTCACTGTAGCAGAAAATGTTAGATGTGATATTTTTTTAGAGCTTTTTACTGTAGAAACTTAAAACTGAAAACTCAAATCGGTGAAATGAACGAGACCTTAATTTATCATTGCTTTTCCAAACTTAAAACTGAAAACTCGAATCGGTGAAATGAACGAGGCCTTAATTTATCATTGTTTTTCTTTTATTCATAATTGGCAGCAATATTATCCATCTTTATTCACCATTTCTCTTTAGCATATAGTTTAGTTTCCTATGTTTCACTAATCAAATTATGTGTTCCAAGGTCTTAAGAGATGAGAACCAACATTATTTTGCTAGCGCAAATCTTCAAAAGTTAAAATTTGCTAAAGTTGGCAAACTCATTAATTTCAGTGGAAACACCCAATTTTGCTCCAATAGAGTACAAGTCCCAAATGATGATCATTTGTTTGTTGGGGGTCAACACTTGACTTCAGAGCACAATTCAACAACCATAGCACCCCCACTCACCCAAAAGAACAAAAAAAAAAAAAAGTGGGTACTTCTTCAACCTGGGCTTGGTGGTCCAAAATGGAAAGTTTACGTTACCAGATGCTCTAGTGACCAGCTCTATAAGAGCTTGGCCACTTCAGAGATATCTAGGCACCAATAAAGAGACTTTCACAAAAAGTAGGTTTAACTAAAATCACATGCATAATATATAAATATAAATAACGTAATACTTTTTAACCGTCAGATCTGTATCAGGATATATCTGTTATACATACTTTTTCAATCTAATGTGATTTTAATCAAATCGAATAGTCAAAAACTGATATTGCCGCCCTACTGAAAAAACTCACTTTTTTTTATATTGATTATGTTTTAGTGAGTTAAGTAATTAACCACTCCTTCAAGGTCACTTTCACGTCGTTTTCCATTTGAGTCATACTCAATATAGTCCTCAACAGTTGAGGGGACCAAAATTTGGTATGTACCATACTCCTATTGATCCTGAGTTATATGGTCCCAATTAAAGTTTGTACGTCTTTTTCTCTTTCTTTTCCCTTCTTTTTTCTTCTCATATCCTAAGTTTGTTTGTTTTATGTTGGATCATATTAATGGCCGATGTAACAGGACTAAACTAAAGACAGATGCACACTCAATTCACTGTCTCGCAAGACAAGTTTGTGTTTTTGCGTTTGATAAATACTGAAGCATTATTTGTGGAAATTATTATCTAGCAGAAAGTAACTTACTTCCTTCAGAAAATTACATATTATGCCACCAAAATCAAACAACTTTAATAATATTATCATTGTTGATTTTGATATTCTACCATAATACTCTATGAAGATACATTGTTAAAAAGAAAAAATAATTTAATAGGATATTAAACATGTCCACATCCAGATAGAATATTTTCTTATAAATTGAGTCGCATAAATGTTATATCTTATGTCATTAAATGACATAAATATAAAGATGTCATTTTTTAAGTAGTATTTCTGTATTTCTCTCGCTTTGTTATAACTAATTGTAGAATTACATGATAGTTTGTCGGGTACCCGACATATTGTTGTTCTTGATTATAAAGTTAGGTACAATGGGACAACTGAAATGTGTAACTTTAATAATGTTTTGATCCTACAAAGTGAGTGGCTAAATCAAAAAAACCAACTTTCTGAAGTGTGATCATGAATCCCTTTTTTCTTTTACATTATTTTCTCTTCTTTCAGAAAACGATACTAGAACTGGACCGGGGACAGATTTGTTGTTTATTTATTTACAGTTAAAAATGTCTCAGCCTCGTTAGATAGTTATTGGAGAAAACGAAAGCCTTTTGAGATAATTTCGTGGCAAAAATTCAATGACTTCTTATTTTATATACATCACATATGATTCATGACTAAATTCTAATACGTTTTTTACGTGCCTCATGAAACCACTTAGGTTTGAAGGTTATTCAATTTGTTAAGCAGTTTATGAAGTTTATTAGGGTTAAAAATTGTATTGAGTGACAAGACAAAACAATGTGTCTGTTGTCCAGTGGTCTAATTAGTAGGGTATTTGAGAAGTATGTTAGTGAAGAGCAATGTCGAAAAGCCTTCTTTTAGATGGACGTTCTTCGTACTTCAAAAACAGAGTAAAGAGACGGATGTAGAGATAACGATATATAAATTGATATTAGGAGTACCATTCTAATAAGTGGCCAATGAGGTTGTGATTGACTGACAACCTAGCTAGAACTATGGCATCTGCGATCCCAATGACAATATAAGAGGAAATAGGTAAGAGTGAAGACGAGAAGGAGAAGAAAAGAGAGGATAATAAGTTGAATAATTATGTTATTTTTGACACTTTATAAGTTTATTTTGCTCAAAAAGAAAAGAAAATTTCTTTGGACCAAAATATTTCTTTTCAACTATGAATATGTATCTTTATTATTTTCTTTATGTTAGATTAAAATTTTCAATGACCATATCTTCTAATAGATAGTTATATGCAAATTTATAACGTGGACACTTATAAATCATACCGTTATGAATAGTGACAAAAGATAATTTCAATCGTAGAAACCCCTAAAAGAACCATCTCTCCCTCTCCTCACTTGCCTCTATCTCTCTCGGCCCTGGATGGTGTCTACAAAGCACAACTCCTTCGTGCAATTTCGCAAGCAACGAAGATCATCATCTTCGTCGTTCCTCTTCTCAATCACAAGCTTGTTGCCTCCGCTGACGAGATCTTGCATTCGCGACGAAGCTCAAGTATAATCTCACTTCTCTAATGAGTCGACGAGGCTCAACGAGATCTCACCATTCACCATGGAGGAAGAACGTGCGATTCTTATGGATTTCTCCTTTCTAGCTGATTTCATCGCATAATTTACGGCTTCATTGGATTAGCAAAAAATAAATAAATAAATAAATCCGTTTCATCGTTCAAAGGATATACAAATTGGGCTACCGTCGGACTGATAGCATCCCAGACCTTCAAGTTTATCAAGCAAACGTCCGAGTCGGCCATAGCCCAGACAATTTTTAACGTGTAAAATTACTCTATTAATAGAATTCCTATTATATGGATTCATGGAAAAACCCAGTGATGGTATCAATCAACTGAACTGATTATCAGAGAAAAAAATTCCAAACAATATATGTGATCTGTTTCTCCGCTGACTTACTCTTCCTCAACGCTAATATTAACACAACTATGCCAAAGAAACTTCACTAAAAATGCCTGATTTCATGTGCTCTGGAGCTATACCATGCCAGTGAGAAGAAAGAATGATCAGATTATTCAAATATGATACACAGATTATAAGCAAGAGAGCCATCAAATTCATTTCAATCCATTCCACCCCGGAGGAAGTCTCCATCTTCTGTGCCAGAATATCGAGACTCTTGACCATAATGGGAAACCGAAATTGTAATCAAGAGGACGGTCAACCGGTCCTCCGACAATCAAAGGCAACCACACATACCTCGAGTCCCTCAGGTCAGCCGGGTTCCACCTATCTGCCATGAAAATAAATGTACTGGGAATCGCAGGCAGGGGAACCACATAAGTGCTCTGAGCAAAGAACGTTGTGAGCCGAAAGCTTTTGCTTTTCACTACACACGGGTTACCCATAGTCTCCCATGGCCCGAGTACTGACTCTGCTGCGTGGGCTAGTGCCTCATTCGGAGCCCATCCAGAGCAGCCTGATGTGATCATGTAATAAGTTCCCAGGTACTTGAACAGAGCTGGGGCTTCCCTACGTTGTCCCACAAGAACCCTCTTCATGGTGCTCGTCACGTCAAGATAATCTTCAGTTAGTGGTCCAATATGAAGTTCACTGTTGTCCTCGGAGGAGTACACAAGATATGCCACCCCATCATCGTCTTTAAAAATCGTCATGTCCCTGCTCTCAAATCCGTGGGGTCGTTTGCTGTACAGATAGTCGAAAGGACCAGTTGGTTGATCACTAACAGCAATACCAACAGAAGCTTTAGTGTAGTTGACATCATCAATGTGCATCCACATCACATACTTCCCCGTCTTCTCGTTGTAAATCACTTTCGGTCTCTCAAGAACATTTGATTTGTGGAGATCATGAGTTTCGTTTGTTTCTTCTGCTGCCAGGACAATGCCTTCATTTTTCCATTTCCACAAGTCTTTGGAAGAATAGCAACCGACTCCAATGATGTCAACCTAAGTAAAATTTTAAAAATAATAAAAAAAAAAAAAAGTTACACGTTTGTTGCATCATTGATGAAACAAGTGTGTCATGGATCACTGGAAACAAAGAAGAGAGAAAAAACAAAAAAACAGAAAGAATGCAGCATCAATATGTCTGGAATAACAGTCTGCTCACATTAAATGGGCAAACAGTGTCTTCATCATTTAAAAAATTATTAAGCAAAAGTAGGCAGAATCTTAGCTTCACTCATAGCGTTCTAATCAGAAAATACACCATTGAAAAATTTTGTCAGTTCGCGATAGATTGGATGAATATTACTACAACAACAAGAGGTCTCAAACTTATAAGGTTTTTATGCCTTTTAACTTCATCTAACAAGAACGGTGAGTATTTCATCACTATGTGCCACCAAAGATGAAAGATGGGACCTGAGTTTTCTAGTGTGCAATCCGCAAACTTTTATACTTTTCACCGTTAGTCTTGCTCAAGTTTAAAATATTTCTATGCCTTTTAGCTTCATCTAACAAGAATGGTAAGTATTATATCTCAATGTGCCACCAAAGATGAAAGAGGAGACCTGATTTTTAAGTTTATGAATTTTTCTCCCTTAATCTTGCTTCAGTTCAAAGCTATAAGCAAACACTTAAATACCATCTCATACCCAATAGAGAGGAGAGGGCAGGATTTGCAGAAAGAGCCAAGAGGTAGCAGAATTTTTCCTGCTCTTAGAGTATTTTAATCCTTTTTTTTCTACAGGACCAATCAGAGAACACTTAATTTTTAAAAAACTTGGGGCCCGTTTGTTTCATACACTCAAACTCAAATAATTGATTTTGCTACATTGTTTTATTCTCACAAAAAATTTGAGTTTCAAATGTCAGAATCAAGAATCATAGTTGGTAAAATATCTACATGGAGACAACCTGAGAGTAAGTTGGAACACTAAAATTGAGAACTTGAGTTGTTTATGTGGGAGAGAACATTGTAGCAAAATGGTTGAATTTAAATTTTTATGAGAGAAAACACTATAGCAATAGAACTTGAGTTGTGAACAGAACAAGCTAAGACTTAGTTATTTCCATAGGATGCTGCTATTACTAAAGCATTTCTTTGTGCTTTGCAAGCGCCTTGCAATATTTCTTCGAGCATGAATTTGCCGCACTGGACATTAAGGAGATCATAAACTACCCAAGGGGAGAAGGAAAACATAAAAAAATAACCAATCCAAATTCATATAGCATTGACTGATTAATTTTATTTCAGACCTTGGACACAAAACTTGCCTTGCTCAGCTCTTTGAAGAGGTATAGTTAATGTCATTTCTTCTCCAGGAGGTGTAAATTCTCATGGTTGTACTTTTGAATATTAAGAAGTTTGCAACTTCGAACTCTAGAGTAATAACCATTGACTAGCATTTGTATCCCTCTAAGCACAAGGACTGAGAATTAGAAAATTCTTTCAATGTAAAACAACTTACCCGAGCTGCACCCTTTTTATGAGCATGATAGGTGGGCCCATCTTTGTATTCTCCATACCAATAGTACGTCCTTGTCCTTTCATCATAAAGAATTCCACCTCCATGGGCTTGAATAGGATTCCCATCAGTGTCCAACCAGATCCTACCCGGGTAATAATAAAAGCTATCATTCCCCGCATCCTTCATCGGGTCTATAGAAGTCTTCTCACCAGGAAAGAATGTACTCCTAAGTTGGGAATTCTCGTCAAGAAATTCATCTATAAGAGTTGTTGGCTTCTTTGGCCTTCTCTTTGCAGCGCGCGGAGATCGCTTCCCCTTAGGCGGAGGGATTTGGATGTTTTCCTCCTCCACTTGTTGAAGTTCACGCAACTGTGGGTCGTGAATCATACGGTGTTGGATCTCTCTACCTGTCCCATCCTTTTGGCGAACAAGGGAGTATATTTGAAACATGAGAAGACAACCAACCAAGCTCCAGACTGTGGCAGACATTGAACATCTGCTCCCTGCAGCATTGCAACGTAAAGTGGTCGGTTTCCTGTATTTGTTCCTCATCCTCATTTTTCACCTTCTCTTTATTTTTTTTTATCTCCAAGATAGTGCTGCAAATTAAAAACAAAAACAGCCTATGGAGATCCAAAACTCCACCAAATATAATTGACAACCGCGCTAACCTATACATTTTGCAGAAGATTAACCTCATGAATGTTTATGGGGGAAAAAAAAAAAACAATTCAGCACAAATTAGGAACTGAAACATGTACTAAGAAGAATTCTTTGGTATGATATGAGTAAATACTCTATCCGTAAGACAGTTTTTAACTCTCAGATTTTCATCGGCTACTGTCAAATACTCAGATTCTGAGTTGATTTAACAGTAAAAAATGTACCTAATTCAATCTGACAGTTAAAACTTATATCCTATCATTAGGGTATATTTTCATATTCTACCAGACTACCACAGAATGTTGAGAATAACCAACTCCTTAACTCCTATCAAATATTGAAATTGCCCTTCACTAACTTCCATAACTAGCTTAAGCAATCAGTAAGAAGATAAATAAATAAATAAATATATATATATATGTGTGTGTGTGTGTGTATATATATATATATATTCAATCCCCACTTATCAAACCAAAACGATAACAAAGTTAAAAGTTGAAGAAGAATTACAATTGGGATCCCATGTCAAAAATATCCTTCACCATAACTAAATCCTTATCCAAATAAAGCAGACTAAAAATGAAGATTGGCAATTGAAATCAAACGAACGGACCCATCTCAACACCAGATTAATCAAACAAATGGGAAATGAAAAGACCCACTTGATCATCACACGGACCAATAAAAAAATGAAAATAATAATGAAATAAAACAATTAAGCTCGATAATTAGAGCTAAAAGATTCTAACCTGAGAACACCCGAACCATGAAGGACGCCAAATTCCCAGACATTACCACTTTTCTCCGCCGATGTTTTTCTTATCGTCGTTTTCTGATTATAGTGAAATGATCCAGTTCAAAGAAGAAAAAAAAAAGATAAGGGAGAAGGGAAAGCAGAAGAGAAGTTGGGTTGTTTACTTCTAGTGGAATTCGGATCTGGGTTTGATGACGTTGACTTGTGACCAAAGGTCTTCTCTTGTTTGGCTCTCGAGAAAAAAAGAAAAGAAAAAGAAAAAGAAAATTGCGGCTTCAAGGTTTCACTGAGATTTACTACAGAAAAGATATATCGGGAACTTTGGGTTTCTTTCTTCCTTCCTTCCCTTCTCTTTTATGATTTTTATTTATTTATATTACTAATATTTTTGCCTCATTCACGCGGTGGCTGCTTTAAATAGTTACTGATTTTCCTTGTGAGTGAGAATTTGACAGTTAGATTTCCAAATGGGCCACCGTTTGAATGCTGTGTTGTTCCGTTCTGTCACAAGTTTTCTAGCACCTACTATTATGCATACAAGATATTAGGAAAAGGAAAACAAATATAAAGAATTAAAAAAAAAAAAACAGAACTTCTTTTGTGACGACACTTGGCCTGTTCAGTTCGTTAATTCGAGTTGAGATGTGATCTTTTTGTGAAGCTTTTGACTCTACCAAACAAGTCTTTACCAATAAAAAATTCATTGGTACAACCCCTATGATGACGAAAAGATTCGTTGCTATAAATGTTCTCGCTAAAATGGTCATTTATAGGAGTGATACTGAACATGTGAAGTCTGCCTTCCCTTAGGCAAATGAGTGGAATTGTGTATTGAGTAGATGATATATGCATAATTGGGCATGTTACCTGGATTTCTGAAAGTATACATCCGTGCATAGCCATGACCGTGAATGCGCAATGCCTTAGTGCCCCGCCAACTTTGATATAGTTTTTCCATGGATAGTTGAAGCCCTTGTAAGGGCCATGAGGTGGCTCCCATAATGCGAAGTCCAACTGCGAAATCGCCAATCGCGTTTCATGAACTAATTTAGCTCCTACTTGAGGAAAAGGACTAGAAGCACAAATGGTAAGATGAACTCACTAGAGTTTCCTCTTGGGTTGAAGATTGAACAGCTGATCTATAGCCACTGTATAACTGGTCATCAGAAGCTTGATATATGAGAATTTTTGAAGGAATCCTCTCATATTCAACACACTCCAAATATCCCTTAACACAACCTAAGCAAAAATAAAGTGACTCAGATCAAGTAATTAAAAAGAATAAGCATCTTCTCCAATGTTAATGTTCATGTCAATACTATATTTAGCATAGAAAAGTGTACTCCAATGTATAATGATATTTTAATGCTACATTTACTTTTTTTGTCATAAATTTGTAACCTTAGAACTTGTAAAGGAAATTTGTTTATTGAATTATTAAGTAAACTTCTTACTAACAAACAGAATCAAATATTACAATTTGACACAAGTACAACATTACATTGGATTGGAGGGTATTTTTCTGTCCAAATACCAAATTTTGATATTGGCACGGAGATTCTGCATTGCAATGAAAATGCTAGTATACAAATATTTTTAGCCTTTTAGGCACGTAAAACACCGCTACATACATAAAACTTACCTTCCAAAGAAACAGCAACACCCCTGAAATTTTTAACCACCAACTTGTGCAGATCTTCCCCTGCCCAAATGGGGAATATACATATACTTACAACCAAACAAATCCCAGCACCAACGGCAATAAGCATCAACCGGTATAATGCCGTTTGGAGAAAGGCTTTACTCGCAGACGTCAAGACTATACAGTATGTCAACAAGAACACACGAAACCCATATTCGTATGGCTTCATTGGCGGGTACTGTTTGGCATAGCTAGCGCAAAATCCTAAACATAACGTAAAAAGAAGATATGTCAAAATTTAAAAAAGCCTTCCTTTAAAAGAAAAAAAGAGTTTTTTTTTTTTTTTTTTTTTTTTTTTGCGAAATTTGGAAGGAAACTTTCTTAAAAATATTTTGGAACTTTCACCTACGTTAATATACTAGTGGGCCAATTTTTTATCTATAAAATTTACATAAAATTACATAAAAGTAAAAAATACGCAGATTTAACGGTTAGAAAAATCTGATCTACCAGTACTCTAAATGTACTCGAGGATCTCCCAAACAAAATTATCAAATTATGGACTTTTTTTTTTTTTTTTTTGGCCAATCACCATTGAGTCACATAATATGGAATAGGGGTGGGATGAAACTTAAGTTTAAGAGGACGCAGATTCAATCCCAAGTCATTTTAGATTTTTTCTTTTTTTTTAAAAAATTTCATTGTGTTTTTGGGTACGTATATTTTCACTTGGTTTTATGAGAAGTAACAACGATTATAAATGAATGGAGGTTGGTATGTCAACACATCAGGACTAGATATCCAAATAGATGAAAGTCATAAATTATAATAGTGGGGTGGGCTTGGACAATAATTGAAAATAAGTGTTCATGGGGACAGGAATAAGTAGGTACAATGTTACAATTTGAAGATTAGTTTGACCCATTTTTTGCATCGATAACAATTTTTCTCTTTATGTATTCAGATCCCCTTTTCATGGATCTGAAAGGGGCAGTCAAGAAATTGCTTAGTTGGGAATATAACTCTCAAAAATTTTCCCCAACCTAAAAGCAATGTGAAAAGTCATATTTTTATTTGGACGAAAGGAGAAAAGATCATTTATTCTAGTTTATCAGAGATTTACAACAACAACAGCAAAAGAGACAAATATTTTAAAGTCTGGCATCCGAATTAGTCCGATAAATGTAACTTTTTTCATATTCTTATATAACATCATTTGATCATATGTGTAACACTCGATTTATTTAAGTATAACATTTAAAAAATATAATTGAATATGTAATTTGAGTGTTACACTTAAATAAAACAAAGTGAATGTTACCCAATATAAACAGGAGAAAAGATCATTTATTCTAGTTTATCAGAGATTTACAACAACAACAACAAAAGAGAAAAATATTTTAAAGTCTGGCATCCGAATTAGTCTAACTTTTTTCATATTCTTATATAACATCATTTGATCATATGTGTAACACTCGATTTATTTAAGTATAACATTTAAAAAATATAGTTGAATATGTAATTTGAGTGTTACACTTAAATAAAACAAAGTGAATGTTACCCAATATAAAAAATGTTACAATAAAATACTAAAAGAAAAAATTATATTTATTAGACTGTAAAAGTGTTACACTTAAGACTTTGCCTAGAGTAAATAAGGTAGAACTATTTGTTATGTAATTACAGAGCCAATTATTACTGAAAATGAACTAACAATACAAGAATACAGTAAAATCTTAACATGCATATCTGGTCTCGTCTTTTCTATGGGAACCTATATTGGACAGCATTTTTCATAATGGAGAAATTAAAGAGAAAACAAATGAGTTTATTATGATTAATATAATGACACTTGGATGATGAATCAATAATGCTATGTCGTATATTGTTATAATATGATTCTCCATATATAATTAGATTTAGTAATCAATCATTACAGTTCATAAATAAAAAAAAATTATTTGAAATGAAGAAACGCGTACACATTTCTATCGAAAGAATATAGAAATCCATATTACTTTTTTACTTTTAAGGACAATTTATTCTTCTAGCTAGAAATCCATATTAAAAGTCAACAATAATCATAATTATAAAGGCTGGCTTGTTTGTGCTCGTTCTTCTATTTATCTCTCAGACACAAAATTCAAATTACTTTTTTCCTCCTCTTTTATGATTTCAAGCATTCAATTCTTCCCCGTCCAAAATGTTAATATATATTTTTAAATTATTCTAAAATATGCCCTTACTAAAAATTGAACTAGAAACAATGTACAATTTTAGAAAAAAAGTTTCTGTGATGATTAATTTTAAGTAAAAATAGCCAAAGCATATTTCACGGTATAGTTTTATAATTTTGTTTTCTTATTAATTGGTTTATGATTCCACCAAACTCTGAAGAAAATAATAAATTACACAACTGAAACCAAGTCAAATACTCATGTCCAAACTAATGACATTCCAAAGTCGTATTATAATTATTCTCAATTAACATTACTTCCTCCTACAATAATCTCCATGGTTCAAATATTTGTCTTACGACAACCATGGTACTACATTATACTTTTCAATTCTCTAGTCATTCTTTCATTATCCAATAGCAAATCTTTACGGTGAAGACATTCTGCTCTATACACCTGTAGAAAAAGATGCTTTTAATTATTGGAATAATTTTTTAACGGTCAGATTTGTACATGTTCATAAAAAATTATAGCGCGCCACACAGAACTATTTCTATTGCATATCTGACCGTTATAAAATAAGTCCAATGATAAAAACACAATTTTCACTAATAAAGTGAAATAGCATGCTCCACTGTAAAGACTCTCAGAAATTAATACAAAAAGGTATACCTTTCCTTAAATAAACTTTCATAAACTATATAATCTATGTATGATGTCTCGTGGTTGTGGCCTTATGGAACACAAAGAGAAGCATCTTCCCTTATCTTGGACAGCTTTTGTGACCCAAAGCAACACCAAAACCACCATGAAAATGGAAAGTGAGAACATGGATGACCACAACAATCGAACCGAAACTCGAAACGGCACGCATTCGTGCAAAACGACATACGAAAACTTGTCCTTCACTAGTTTGCATTCTGTCAATCTTTGCAAGTCCGGATATATGTTCAACAAATCCTGGGTAGAACGACTGTAAGCCGAGGCCATGTTGTAAATTGCCTCGCTCACAAATTTTCCATCTGTTTTGCACCTTTCCTGGTCTTCTTCATAACAAGTGAAGCTGGCAAGAACCTGCAAATTAATAACTTATTATTTTAATTTGGAACGAATTAATTTAAACTAACTAGTTGAATAATTTTTTTTGAAAAAAAAAAAAAAATGAGGGCATCCCCTTGATTGATGAGAGAACTGGCTCACATGTTCTCTGTTATAATGTGACTCTATCTTGAAGATGGCTGTTAGTTTTTATAAGTTAGTTACAAATAGTTAAGACTGCAGTTTAATTGTTTGGTAACCGAATTAAGTATTTTAACCACATAGTGGTTAAGCTTAACTCTGATTGGTTATATTAAAAAATTCTATTTGTTGTATTCGTATAAATAGGTGTCCTTAGGAGAATAAAGACAAATGGAAGATTACATACTCTACGCGTGTATTTTCTCTGTTTTAGACTGAGTTCTTAGGTGAGAGAATAAATGAGAGCTGTGAGGTTTTTTGGAAAAGCTTGGGATATTTGAAGCTTGTTTTTGAGAACCCAAATCTTTGTAATCTTGTGACAATCCTGTTCATAGTAGATTAAACTAGGGGAAAAACCCCTGCCTTGGATTAGGATCTTTTGATCCGAACCAAGTAAATTTTGGCGTGTTTGATCTTGTTCGTTTCTGTTTCTTCAATTCTTGTTGTTCTATTGGTCTTCACTCTTCAGGATTCACATATGGTATTAGAGCATGGTTCGGCTATTGAAGATCAGTTCCGCTACTTTTTCTTTTTCAAGAATTGACGAAGAATTCAAGAATTTGAAGATGGGCTCGGCAAAAATGGAAATTGAAAAGTTTGATGGGCGTGGTGATTTCAATCTCTAAGGAAAAAAGATGCAAGCAATCATGGTTCAACACAAGTGCATCAAAGCCCTAGATGGATTTCCCAAAGGTACTAAAGAAGAATACAAAAAGGAGGTACACGAACTTGCCTATAGTCTGTTAATTCTGAATCTGTCTGACAATGTTCTTAGACAAGTTGATGATGAGGACACTGCTTCAAAAATCTGGCTGAAACTTGAGTCTTTGTATATGAAAAAGACTCTCTCGAATAAAATTTCTTTGAAAGAGTGACTTTTTAGTTTTAAGATGGATTCTGAATCATTAAAGGATAATCTTGATGATTTAATAGAATAATTGTGAATTTGTCAAATATTGGTGAGAAAATTAACAGTGAAAATAAGGCTATTATTCTATTGAATTCATTACCGGAGTCATACAAGGATCTCAAAACTGCAATCAAGTATGGAATTGATAATCTATCCCTTGAAGACGTTGTTGGAGCTCTAAGGTCTCGAGAATTGGAGCTGAAGACATACAAGAAAGGAAGTTCCAGTGGAGAGGGATTACATGTTAGGAGAAGGCCTGAAAAGAGAGACAATTCTAAGAATAAGAATAAGTCCAGATCGAAATCCAAGAATAAGACCACTAAGACTTGTTGGTTTTGTCAAAAGAAGGGCATATAAGGAGATTTTGCCCTGATAGGAAGAAATCTCAAGAAAATTCTTCTCAATCTAATTCCTCTAAATCTAATTCGGTCAACTTGTCTTAAGGTTATGATTCTGCTGAAGTGTTGACAGTTACTCAATCAGATTCTAAGGATGAATGGATTCTTGACTCGGGGTGTACTTTCCATATGACCCCAAGAAGAGATTGGATGATGGATTTCAAGCCCATCAATGGAGGAGACATATTCATGGGCAACAATAATTCCTGCAAGATCGCTGGAATTGGAACTGTATGTTTCAAGTTATGGGATGGAACATACAAGAAACTGGATAATGTAAGATATGTCCATGATCTGAGAAGGAACTTGATATCACTAGGGATGTTGGACTCAGATGGCTATTAATATAAGCTAGAAAATGGGAATCTCAAAGTGCTCAAGGGCTCTTTGGTTGTGCTAAAGGGCAGTTTACAACATGGGCTCTACATTCTACAAGGAAAGGTTGTTACTGGTATTGCTGCTATGGCAATAAATGGCTCAGATGAGACTCAGATTTGGCATCAAAGACTAGGCCACATTAGCATGAAGGGACTTGAAGAACTCTGCAAACTTGGGGTTATCGATTCAAAGAAGATCAATTCTTTGGGCCTATGTGAAACCTGCATTCTTGAAAAATCACATAGGCTGAAATTTTCTCCATCTACCCAGAGAGCAGAAGGCATTTTGGACTACATTCATTCTGACTTGTGGGATTCAGCTCAGGTACCATTCTCTCTTTCCAATTCACAATACTTTATCTATTTCATTGATGACTACTCTAGAAAAGTCTGGGTATATTTCCTGAAAACCAAGAACCTAGCTTTTGAGAAGTTTGTAGAATGGAAGACATTAGTAGAAAATCAAACTAGAAAAAGAATTAGAAAGTTGAGAACTGATAATGGTCTTGAGTTCATGAATGAGATTTTCTCAGGGTATTGCACTAATATTGGTATAGATAGGCACAAGACTTGCACAAACACACCTGAATAAAATGGCATTGCCAAGAGAATGAATAGAACCCTATTGAATAAGGTTAGATGCATGTTGCATGAATCAGGCCGAAATAAAAGATTTTCAGAAAAAGCCACCTCCACAGCTTGTTATCTAGTAAATAGGTCTCCCTCATCTGCCATAGGATTTAAAACCCCACAACACCTATGGACAGGTAAAGCTCTGAGGTTGTCACATTTAAAATCCTTTGCCTGCATTGCATATATGCACAAAAGTCAGGGAAAACTAAGTCCTAGAGCTAAGAAGGCTATATTCATAAGCTATCATATAGGTGTTAAAGGGTACAAACTTTGGCTGTTAGATGACAAAAATGTGTTGTGAGTAGGGATGTGGTGTTTAATGACTCTGTTTTTTATAAGACTGACCAACTAACCAATGAGTTCTCTGAGAAATCAGATGAGCATATTTTTTGTCTTCCATTTGAGGTGGAGAAGTCAGGTGACAGGGCAAATAGAAATAACAATGATGGTGAAGACCGTAGAGCATAACATGGAGCAGGTGGAACACAACACACTGCTGAAACTGAAATACAACCAGAAATGAACCTGCCAAAATAAGAGCAAAACCAGAATCACCACTATCATGATGCTGCTCAAGAACCCGAACCTGACACTACACTACCACCAGAACAAGTCACCTCCTCTGGTGAGGATCTCTCACAGTATATGCTATCACGGGATAAGACTCGTCAACAGATACATCCTCCTCAGAGATTTGTTCAAGCTGACATAATATAACATGCTTTGAATGTTGGGGATACAATTGAGCTTAATGAGCCTGTAAACTTTGAGGAAGCATGTGGCAGCAGAGACAGGGAACAATGGCTCAAAGCAATGAAAGAAGAGATGGAGTCTCTTCATAAGAATAAAACTTAGATCCTTGTTGAAAAATCAAGAGACAAAAGGATCAAGGCTGTAGATGGATTTACAGAAGAAAGCCCAGAATCCCGTGCGGATAACACCATTCCATCTTAAATGGGAATGATATGTATTAGTAATGTTTTAATTAAAGATTTTGAAGTTTTAATTAAATTCATTACGAGCATCGTTTTGATTATTTTCTTTAACTATTATCTTCTTGCATATAACACTTATATACAATATTTAAGGTCACATAAATAATCATGAAAATTTCAGTGACACTCATAAAATATTCAAAAGGTCACATAAATAATCATGAAAATTTCAGTGATACTCATAAAATATTCTCAAGTTGAAGGTATTGACTACCATGAAGTTTTTTCTCCAGTAGTCAAACACTCATCCATTAGGCTACTTCTTTCACTGGTTGCAATTCAAGACTTAGAGCTGCAACAACTGGACGTCAAAACTGCTTTTTTGCATGAAAATTTGGAAGAGCAGATATTTGTGGAGCAACCTAAGGGGTTTATTAATAAGGGAACTGAGGATAAGGTTTGTCTACTTAAAAGGTCTCTATATGGATTGAAGCAATCCCCGAGACAATGGTACATGAGGTTTGATGATTTTATGCTTCAAAGGGGATTCAAGAGATACAACTTTGATCATTGTGTGTACCTCAAGGAGATTACTGCTCACATATTCATCTACCTTTTAATTTATGTAGATGACATATTAATAGCTTGTAGAGATAAGAAACAAGTCCAGAAACTCAAAGACACTCTCAAATCTGAGGTTGAGATGAAAGATTTAGGAGATGCCAAGAGGATACTGGGGATGGACATCAATAGGGACAGGAAGAAAGGTGTTTTAACAATTTCACAATCCGGGTATGTAAAGAAGATTGTCAAGTTTTTTGGCATGACACATGCAAAGATCACAACAATTCCAGTTCCTGCTCATTTCAAGTTAAGTTCTGTTAAAGGTGAACTCTCTCAAGAGGAAGCTGATTTTATGAAGAAGATTCCATACTTAAATGCTGTTGGAAGTATGATGTATACAATGATTGGAACAAGACCAGACATTGCTTATGAAGTGAGTCTTGTTTGTAGGTTCATGAGCAATCCATCTAAGAACTATTGGAATGCAGTTAAATGGTTGTTTAAATACTTGAAAGGATATGCAAACCTTGGTTTGGTATAAATGGCTACTGTGACTCAGACTATGCTACTGACCTGGATAAGAAGAGATATGTTACTGGTTATATTTTCACACTTGGTGGAAATGTCATAAGGTGGAAGTCAAATTTGCAGCCTATCGTGGCATTATCAACTGCGGAGGCTGAGTACGTGGCTTTAACAGAAGCAATTAAGGAAGCCTTGTGGTTGGAAGGTATCACCAAGGAATTAGGAAACAAGGAACATGCTGCATGTGTTCATTGTGACTCACCGAGTGCAGTCCATTTATCTAAGAATAATATGTTTCATGAAAGAACGAAACATATTGATGTTATATTGCACTTTGTTAGGGACATTATTTAACAAGGAAAGGTCAAAGTAGACAAGATATCTACATTGACAAACCCTGGGGACATGTTGACTAAGGCAATTCCATTGAGCAAGTTCAAGCAACCCTTGGACTTTCTCAACCTTCTTCCAACTTGATTCTCTTTGGTGATTAGGGGTCCTAGTTTAATCCACTGTCAAATCAGAGTCAAGGTGGAGTTTTGTATAATGTGACTTTATCTTGAAGATGGCTATTAATTTTTATAAGTTAGCTACAAATGGTTATGACAACAGCTTAATTGTTTGGTAACCGACTTAAGTATTTTAACCACAAAGTGGTTAAGCCTAACTCTGATTGGTTATATTAAAAAGTCCTATTTGTTGTATTAGTATAAATAGGTGTCCTTAGAAGAATAAAGGCAGATGGAAGATCACACTCTACGCGTATATTCTCTATGTTTTAGACTGAGTTCTTGGGGGAGAGAATAAACGAGAGCTCTGAGGTTTTCTGGGAAAGCTTGGGATATTTGAAGCTTGTATTTGAAAACCTGAATCTTTGTAATCTTGTGAGGATCTGAGGGTGTATTTTGTTCTTCTGTTCATAGTGGATTAAGCTAGGGGAAAACCCCCTGCCTTGGATTAGGATCTTTTGATCCAAACCAAGTAAATTTTGGCGTGTTCGGTCTTGTTCGTTTTTGTTTCTTCAATTCTTGTTGTTCTATTGGTCTTCAAGATTCACATTCTCTTATTTATGTTTTCTTTCATATTGCTCCAATAATATCATGTCATGTGTTCAATGTTAATTAAAAGTCATGGTGTTAAAATATTTTAATTTGACATGGCATGATCTTCTTAAGAGGAAAGGAGTAAGGAGTATTTGACGTGCCAGGAATGTAATGTGAAAGGTAATGAGATTGAAAAGGAAAATAAAGTAATAAAATTAAGAGTCATTCATTCATTTTCATGCATTTACTTAACTATTAGATGGTGTAATGGGAAACAAACTCATTCCTTCTTTATGTTTACTAAAATTAGAAATAGCAATGTTATGAATGTAATCACTAAAATGTCATTTTATACAATTAAATAATCATTGATTGTATAATTATTTATTAACGGTAAAAAAATAAATTTAACATTCATTCCTTTTAACAAGGAATCAATACTAAGAAGAGTAAGAATTGATATTCTTTTTTCTCATTTCTTATATTGCGCGAGGTCCATTAAATCTCTATTACTAATTTTGTAAATAAACACTTAAAATAATGGGAAAGGTTTCTTTACTCCAAAGTAAATATGACCTTAATTAGAAATGCATAAGAGTTGACTCATAATTACCAAGAGTTACTAGCGGATGCCAATATTATTTGGACTAAATTGGGGGATAAATCTTTCAATGTAATATTTCCTTTTCTATATGCATATATGTAATTGGTAATTGGTTGCTTACATGTGGCAAATGACCAATTGGAATGGCATTCTTTGGACAGCTTTCTGGCACATAACTGTAGTTAGGAGCTCCGTCAAAAGGATTGCATACATTTACAAAACCAGATAAATACTGATCACCATTTAATTGTCCACCTTCTAACTGAAGCAGTCTATGATAGTCTGGTATTTTAGAATTCAACTGCAACATAATGACAACACGTAAATTACACAAAAACAATGGATTAGTTATTATTAAATTTAAAAAAAAAAAAGAAAAGAAAAGAGAAAGTGAGGATTTAAGGTGAATCGGCAAACCATATCCACAAATTAGAACAGGAGAAAACTCAATAATGAGGAGCACTATAAATGGGCAGAATCTAGTAAGTAATCAAAAGACTAACATCCTGTAAGCGTTGCCTAATAAATCAAAAGCAGTCACAACTTTTGAATGAAAAAAGAAAAAAAAAAAAAAAAAAAAAAGACAAAAACTAGAAGTCAACACTAAATTTGGTGTTGACATTTGAGGGAAGAGTTAGTTATTTACAATTGGCTCATATGTTTTTCTCAGAGAGAGATCAGCTATAAATAGAGCTCATATCTTTCTCAGTTTTGCATCATATTCTCACATTTCAGAGAGAATTTTCATAGTGTGAAAGAAATTTAGTTTCTCCAGCTTTTCTTCTTTTGTGAGGTGTTTCTCCTATTTAAATGAGAGTGGTTCTTATTATTCTCTTAGTGTAATTTAGAAAGAATGTTGTAATCCTCATTTTTCATAGTGAAATTTTCTACACTTATCATGTGATTTTTACCTTGTTTCCTTTGAGAATTTTTCACATAAAATACTATATATCCATATTATCTTTATTTTTACTGATTTCTTATTTTGCTACTAGATTTACCAACACATCCTAAAATTAAAAGATTTCCTAATCTGAAAATTGATATAAATAACTTCAAACCACTAATAAAAGTAAGTGTATATATAATGTATTAACTTTAATAATCGTAATTATAAGTAAAAAATAAAAAATAAAAAAAAATAGCAACCACATATATAGTAAACGTATTATACCTGAGTTATAAAATTATAAACAATGAAGCCAATTTCAACCATCATTTTATCTGAGGAAGAGGGATCCATGCATGGCAGCATTGTGCTGAGACTACTATTTTGTGGGTTTACTTCAAACTCTTCAAAAGCAGAACATGTGTCTTCCGCGAAACTGCTTTGCAAAATATAACATTTAATTGTCCTTGATTATAAGATCACTATATATATACACGTAATATGTAATTATGAATACATAACAATTATTATACATAACATGATATTAGAGAAATAACAATCAATTATATTTTTTGTATTATTTTTTTCTAACATTAACATTACATTTAATAACTGTCATCGTTTTGCGTTACGTTAAAAGAATTTTTTAGGGCATAAGAAACTTTACGTGGAACTCACGTATGAAGGAAGAAATCGAAGCCAGTCAAAACCCAGAAGAGTGTTGTTAATATCCAGCACAGACAAATAATACTGCACCACATTAAAAAGCCAAACTGATCATGACAAATCCTGAAGCTCATATTTTTTTTATTTATTTATTCTTTGTTTTTGGATTAAAAAGAGAATTATATATGCATACTTACAAAACAAATCCTGGGTACCAGTGCAACAGGATCAGAACTGATCATCACCCAAAAGCAGCAATATCCATTAGTCTAATTCCAGTTCCACGTTATTATAGTTTTAATTAATTTTACGTTATTTACAGAATTGATGGGATAACCCAATAAAAAATAATAATAATAATAAAAAGGAACGACATGATTTCGGTGGCTTATAATTCACATCAACAAAAGTAAAACTTACCTAATGCCCCGATGATTAACACTAAGTTGGTTGTGACAACCAAAACATGTACGACGTACCTATAACACAAAAAAGTGGAATCAATTAATGCTCATTACAATAACAAAGCTAAATAAAACTAAAAATCACTTTTTCAGCTAAACGATATCGTATCTTTTTCAGCTAAAGTCAATACATATAGTGGACTAAATTTAGATTCTCCATCAAGTTTGATATTGTTTTTGCTTATGCTTTTAGAGAGATAAATGAGAACTATGGCTTTTGATTCATGTTTGGAACCATATTTTTAAAGTGCATAATTTTATAGAAATCAAAGGATATTGGGCCTAACTCAACCTAACAAAATCGGCTTGTTAGGGGAGGATTGCCTTCACCTTATTAAGTGGATCATGCCAATATCTCCGGCCAATGTGGGATTCTAATACGCCCCCTCACGCACAACGTGGATCATGCCAAACCGCTGCGAATAAGTCGATATTGGAGGACCCAACATTGCAAAACTGGGCCTGCTCTGATACCATTTTATAGAAATCAAATGATATCAGGTCTAACTCAACCTAACAAAACTGGCTTGTTAGGGGAGGATTGCCCTCACCTTATTAAGTGGATCATACCAATATCTCTAGCCAATGTGGGATTCTAATACGCCCCCTCACGCACAGCGTGGACCATGCCAAACCGCTGCGAATAAGTCAATATTAGGGGACCCAACATTACAAAACTGGGCCTGCTCTGATACCATTTTATAGAAATTAAAGGATATTGGGCCTAACTCAACCTAACAAAACCGGCTTGTTAGGGGAGGATTGCCATCACCTTATTAAGTGGATCATGTCAATATCTCCAGCCAATGTGGGATTCTAATACATAATGAGATAAATATGATATTTCTATCTTTTTATGGTCGCAATAAAAATGTTACAATAAAGTTTATAAATCTGATTGATACAGTTTTGATACATGTTTTAAGATCATTTTACAACAATAACAAGCCTTAATCCCAACTTAATTGGGGTTGGTGTTATAAATTTCACTTTTCCACTTAGCTCTGCTCAAATTAAACTTTCATGAGATCTAGAATGTCTTTCCTAACTAGTTCGGTCCACGTAATTCTTGGTCTACCCCTCTGTCTCCTAGTATTAGGTATAAGAATGTCCTCCCAAGTATGAACTGGTACTTCTAGCAGTCTACGTTGGACATGCCCGTACCACCTCAAGCGGCCTTCGTGGACCTTATCTTCTATTGGTGCTACACCTACTTTACTACAAATAATTTCATTCCTTATGCGATCCATTCTCGTATAGCCACTTATCCATCTTAACATAAGCATTTTTGCCACACTCATCTTAGATATATGTTGTCTCTTAATGGCCAAATTGTTGGGAATGATGTCCTAGAAGCATAAGATGTAATATGATATTTATTATTTATTTAATAAAATAGTTTATTCATCATTTTATGTGTATATATTTGTGAATATTTTATGAATATCAATGAAAATTCCATGATTATTTATGTAACCTTAAAATTGTATATAAGTGTTATATACGAGAGGATAATGTTTAAGGATAATAATCAAAAAGCAATGTTCATAATGAATTTAATTAAAGTTCAGAATCTTTAATTAAAACATTATTAATACATGTCATTCCCATTTAGAATGGAACAGTGTTATCCGCACTGTTAATATGGTGAGATATTGAATGAGTGTATTTCGCATAATGAGATTATGTGGAACAAGGACACAGACACAATATGAATTTCTAATAATTCCGTTAAGTATAGAAATTCTAATTGAGTCTACCGATGGTCATATATAGGATGGTCTTAATCTTGAGTTCTTAACAGACTCCTATTTATGGATTTGTATCTTTTGATTTACTTAGTACAGATTCTGAGATCCTGAATCCTATTCCTTGTATTTCGGAGACATGGTGAAGTAGGTAGCTGGGAATGTTATTACACGAGATGGAATCCATCCTTCTTAAGAAAGAAGTAGATAAATAATTCTCTTAAGGGTTGATTCGGTACTTGGACCAGTAGGAGCTCCGATT